TGTGCCCATTTTGACTATGTTCAGGTGTGTGCGTGTGTACGAAGAGTCACATTAACTCAGTCGATGGATCGATGGGAGGGCGACACTCCGGCGCCTCCAGCCTCCCGTCGGTGACACAATGAGTGACAACCCTCTCCAAATAACAGGGATATGAAATGTTGTACCTTAGCCGGATAGAGGAGTTTGTTGATTCACTCAGTGACGGTTATCGAAGGTCTGATATAGATACTAGTAGATATTTTTATAACGAATCAGAGCGACCAACAGTTAAAACCACCGAAATGCTAGTTTTATCTACATCTTTGAAATACCATCTCGTGGTAAGTGGTCACTCAATGTTATTGGCAAAATTGGGACTGAAATTATACCTATTATTCATACAACTGTCGAACGCTGGGAAAACAACGTGGAGGGAATTTCATTTCATCATTTCATTCATTAGAGTTAAATGATAATTTATTTAAATTACTTCTGGAAGCGCTCGCTGGTTTTTAGGCAGTAAGTGTGCACGTGCACACTCCTCGGAGGATGTGACTATCCTATCTTCCTACGTAAATAGATAATGTCTATCTATATCAATAATGATCCCCTAAAATACTGTTCGTATCGCTGAACCACGGACGAGAAAATATTTATAATATTTCGTGTTAACTACAATTGTTAACAACTGCTTCCAACTATCATAATTGTACTTGAAGCGTGTCGTGGGTGGCACCGGACACATATATTTCGTAACTAAACGTGTCTTATCATTACATTACTTGTGGCACACGTTACGCAATACAGCTTTTTGTTTATTTATTTCTTAGATTTGTGGACGAGCTCACAGCCCACCTGATGTTGAGTGGTTACTGGAGCCCATACACATTTACAACGTAAATGTGCCACCTACCCTGAGATATAAGTTCTAAGATCTCAGTATAGTTACAACGGCTGCCCGCCCTTCAAACCGAAACGCATTACTGCTTCACGGTAGAAATAGGCAGGGCGGTGGTACCTACCCGTGCGGACTCACAAGAGGTCCTACCACCAGTAAAAGTACCAACTAATAGTACTACTGAATCGAAGTCATTTGGATAAAGTATCTCAAAATAATAACTTAAATCAAATATTTCAAATGTATGTTATGGCTGAGTGACGACCAACTGGAATTTCTTTCCAGCGGATCCAAGGGCATCGTTCTGTCAACAGAAAATAATAATAATAATAAACATTATTGTGTAGGTACGTATTACTTTAATACGTGCGTATTTGTGAACTCAGATCTTAAAGCGGTTTACACTAGGCAGGTAATAATGACTCTTCTTTTGTTCTGCACCTTATCCCACTAGGTGGGGTCGGCACAGCTAATTTTTCTCTTCCGTTCTCTTCTATCAACCGTCATCTCAACACTCACTCCTCTCTCTCTCATATCGTCATTCACACACTCCATCCATTTTAGCGGTAGGCAGCGGCTTGGTTCTGTCCCTGGCATTGCTGAAGTCCATGGGCGACGGTAACCACTCACCATCAGGTGGGCCGTATGCTCGTCTGCCTACAAGGGCAATAAAAAAAATGTCTTCTTTGGTCGACCTCTTCCCCCTCTACCTCTACCCCCTCTACCTTGCTCTACCATTTCCATACATCCTACAATTTCCAGGCAATACTAACATTACATAAAAACAACTGGTTACATAAAAAAAACAATAAAAGCAATGAAATTATATTATAAAGAATCCTAATCACATGAAAACGATTATTCTCCCGTGTCCGCGCGGCTGGTGCTATAGCTATGCGTACCTACTGTTTTTTTCCTACCTAAGCTGATAGCCTTGAGAGGCTATTTCAGCGTAACCTTCACTAGTAGGTGAGCTCACGGAGCTCAAACCTGACGACGTTGCTAACATGAACCCTTGCAAGAGCAGTGCTTCGTAGAATCTACCACCGGATCGGAAACGCGACCCACTGAGAAGATCCGACGAGAAACTCAGTGGGCTAAGCGTACCTACTCAGCTGCGAACCAATATATATAGTTCTGGTGTGTCCGATCAACAATACCCTCGGTGTATTTCAAACCTAACGTTTTACTTTCGCATCGAGAGTTTGGCGCTGTCCAGTCGGGCACTGCGCTCCGGGACAACAACAACTTTCCATCTCGAATAACAAAGATAAACGAAGAAATACAAAAATACGGAGCGCTTCTTTTTTAGAGTTTATTTTGTGTTTATTTAAGAAAGGTATGTTTACTAATCTTCTTTTTCTTATATTTGGGTTTTTATTTATTTTTTTATTTTTTTCATTTACTTCAGATTTTGCATCCATATTACATTCATTAACAATTACATTTCATATAGAATACCAAAATTAAATAAAAACAAAAACTACAATTGCGGAATAAAAAAAAACACAAAAAAATGAATGTCAAAACTACCTTAACCTTTATTTAATCTTTTTAAAAATAAGCAATAGTTAAAAAAAAAAAACAAAAATAATAGTACATCATAGTATTAAATATAATGAAAAGTTAAAAGATTTAAATGATAAGATTTTAATTATTAATTTCGGTGTGTATTGAACTCAACCGAGGTCCGCGCTGAGGTCTAATGTTGTAAGTGTTCCCTAATTGTACTTTAGCTATTTTTATTATACTTAGCTTTATCTCATAAGTTTGCAGATTACACGTATTGCTAACATTTTATGTATCTGATTACACGTATAGCTAACATTATTATCTGCCAGAAACCGTCAGAACGACCGGAATCGTATAGATCAATTCTGATTGACCACAGCTAGAAATACATAGATAGTAATACTTTATATTTATTTTGATATATTATCTGCTTTTGAGCTGGTCGTTCAATAGATATCGAAGTTAACCTAGCCTAGCTTCGAAGTCTCAGTTGTATGGTATAATGGATATCCCACTCTTCAAACCCGAATTCATTAGGCAGTGCTGTCTATGTATGCGAACTCAAAACGTCCACTAGTCTACCGCCAGTGAAGGCCTGTTGATGATCGCAGCAGCAGCTGTGGTAGAGCTTGTCCTCTGCGACTCATTCTCTCACGAATCCTTTAGACCTTACACAACATCACAGGGAAGAGATAGGGCAGGATGCTTTACTAGGTCTACACCACTAGTGCAGGTACTAATGACCCTCTCCGGACATTCGGTTGAAAGTGCATAACAGTAATTATAAATGTATTGTTTATATTGTTTTTCGTAAACTTTAACTTTACTGGTGGTAGGACCACTTGTGAGTCCGCGCGGGTGGATACCACCACCCTGCCTATTTCTGCCGTGAAGCAGTAATGCGTTTCGGTTTGAAGGGCGGGGCAGCCGTTGTAACTACTTGAGACCTTATATCTCAAGGTGGGTGGCGCATTTGCGTTGTAGATGTCTATGGGCTCCAGTGACCACTTAACACCAGATGGGCTGTGAGCTCGTCCACCCATCTAAATAAAATAAAAATGAGTATAGTAAAATATTTCATTTCATGCTTCTTCCTCCCAACGTCTCTTGTAAGCTTCCCATCTAAACATTCAACCCCTAATCCACCACTTATGAGTAAAATCTTTGAGGAAATCTTATATCTGCCCACATTTATTTCTGACCAGAACCTGGTATATGAAAGCTCATGTTTTTCACATTTGGCTTTCACCTTTATTTACAACAAAAAAGTGTTTAAACTGTGAAGTATGAGGCGCCAGCTATTTACAAAATATTAATGAAAAAGTCTCAATTATTTTACATCACCCCATATTTTCAGCTCAAAAAAGAAAGTAGTACATGACCGCTATCAAACACACGACCCCGGGACAAGGTCACTAACTACATACTTTGGCAAAGCAACTGACTATTATTTAAAATTCAGCTACCAACGCCAACGGCAGTTTTTAATGATAATATTCGATTTCAAGCTTCTGCGATAGTTTGATCGGAACAAAATAGGTATAACAAACAACTTCGTTGGCTATCAGTTACGCTGTGCTGTCAGTGAAGCCTTATGGAGTATATTTTGATATTTTGTTCGTAGATAAGATAGTTAAGATAGTTCGTAGATGTTCGTAGAACAAAATATCAAATGAAATATAGAACTGAATAATGTACATTTATGAATTAATCTATACTAATATTATAAAGCTGAAGAGTTTGTTTGTTTGAACGCGCTAATCTCAGGAACTACTTATCGGATTTGAAAAACTCTTTCAGTTTTAGATAGCCCATTTATTGAGGAAGACTATAACTATATAGGCTATATAACATCACGGTAAGACCAATACAAGTGGAGCACCAATAAATAATGTTTTAAAATAAGGGTTTAAATAGCTCCTTATCATTCTATTATTCAAAAATATTTTCACTTTCTACGTAAATGAAGTGGGGGGTAAAATTTAGCGTTATGCCAAAGTAACTAATCCACGCGGATTGAGTCGTGGGCAAAAGCTAGTATAATAATAAATTAATTAATTAGTGTTCTAAATCACAATGAAATATAAATGAAACCGGATGACTTAAGGGCTGTGCCTGGTGGTGTTGTGGCGCAGCCATCGAGTGCCGGCGCGGGGTGTACCAGCATTTACTTGGAAGGCCCAATAGATCTTGAAGCCGCAAGCAAATAAGTTCTGTTCCTTCATAATTATTATTATATATTGCACATATAGGTTTCCCCTTTCTCAGCCCAGTCTGTCGATAGAGCTGGTGTAACTGTATATACGGGCTTTTAGCCAAGTAATATACAGTAGTTAGGATTATTGTGCTAGGCATTACGTATAATAAGTTTGGTTTTCTTTAAGCTGCCTTTTATAATGAAATATATAATATGTTATCTTTTAAATCTAGAAGGTTTAAGCTATTGTAAATGTGATTTAGGACAACTCCAGTGCTTGAGATTATTATTGGGACTATGTAAACTTTTTTTTGTGTTTCCAAATTATTACTATTTCTTCTTTAAGTTCTGTGTATTTTGTCAATTATTATAATTGTTATGATTATTAAAATTAGGACCCGCAGGTGTCTCACGATGAGCCATGAAGATCCGAAGTTGGGACTGCAAGCCGGGGAGAAGTACTTCCTGGTGTACTGGCTGTGTTGCTGCTTGTGGTATGAAGACAAGTCCGGTATGCACTTCCCTCTCATATAGTTTTTTTTATTTTATTTATTTATTTACAACGGCTGCCCCACCCTTCGATCCAAAAACAACACACAATTATGACACACAATAGTACCACAATTTATGAAGCTTACTGATGTCTTTAGGTTATAATGACAAGTATAGTTTTTTTTTGGTTTAGCGATTAGCCGACTCGTTAAATTATATCGTGTTATTTCCTGTATTTGTCCAGATTGCAATTTCTAATTTTCTTGTCCATTCTTAGTTGACCTGGTGAGATAGTAATTAAAGTCCCTTATTGGTAGACCGACCAGGTTTGATTCCCTCTTAGTACAAACATTCGTGTGACGAATAAGTTTTATTAATTCATTGTATGCGTGTTCCATATCTATGCATCATGCAAGCATATACATATCGGTCTCCAGATCCCATTGTACAGGAAATCCTAACTGTTCGCCAGAGGATCATGGTTCATGTGTTATTTTTTGGGATGGAGAGATTGTTAACTCGAGGGCGTATTCTAGGGTCATTAACTACTTCAGTGCCTCCACAGCCAATAACTCAAGGGTAGCTGCTTGCATTTCTACCACCTGAGATGATCCGTAACTCAACGGGGTTATTTAATGAGCCATGTAACGCGTCGTACGGCAATTGTGTGCTTACCCCTGCTAGTCACTGAGTTTCTCGCCGAATCTTCTCAGTGGGTCGCGTTTCCGTTCTGGTGGTAGATTCTGCGAAGCACTGCTCTTGCTAGGGCTAGTGTTAGCAACGTCCCCAGGTTAAAGCCCCGTGAGCTTACCTACACACCAGGAAAATCTAGTATAACTCCTCGAGGTTACTGGAATAGATAGGAAAAAAAGCTGCTAGTGTTAGAAGCAAATGGCGTCAACAGCCAAGTTTGATCCAGGAGGGTGTAGACACTTGAGGGTATACCTAGATTTTTATTTAGTCTGTATTATCGGTTAAGCTTGTTTAGAGAACAACAATTATATTAATGTATTCAGTGTGGAGTCCTTCGTTGTGTATAGTTGACAAAATTATGCCCAGTTTTTTTAGAAGTACCTAAATAAGTTTATTAATTTCAGATAAAGCTTCTAGCAGACACCCGAGCAGAGCCGAACTCAACGGTGCGTAGTTACAAAGCTATTTGTAAGATAATTATTACATGGCCCAGAGAATCGCAAATACAAAATTTGTGCAATGAACCCTTCAAATATTAACAAACCAATTAGTTCAAATTTTTGAGTGAAAATTAAAGGCAATGTACTGACGTTGACCGCGGCTTATACAGCTGCGAACGAAAAGCGTCTTACATACACATACTACAGTAATTTTTTTATTGCTTAGATGGGTGGAGGAGCTCACAGCCCACTTGGTATTAAGTGGTTACTGGAGCCCATAGACATCTTCGACGTAAATGCGCCACCCACCTTGACATATAAGTTCAAAGGTCTCAAGTATAGTGACAACAGCTGCCCCACCCTTCAACCCGAAACACATTACTGCTTCACTGCAGAAATAGACAGGGTGGTAGTACCCACCCGCGCCGACTCACAAGAGGTTCTACCACCAGTAATTACGCAAATTATAATTTTGCGGGTTTGATTTTTATTACACAATGTTATTCCTTCACCGTGGAAGTCAATCGTGAACATTTGTTGAGTACGTATTTCATTAGAAAAATTGGTATCCGCCTGAGATTCGAACACCGGTGCATCGCTCAACACGAATGCACCGAGCATCTTATTCCTTAGGCCACGATGACTTCAACTGATCGGGGGCCGACGTGGACGCTATGTCCAGAAAGAGTTCCCTCACTCCGGTGTATGACTTCTTGTTGTTAGGTTGTGGGGTGGTGACATTGTAGTGACATGGCGTCGTGTCCACAGACGCGGGGCGACGGCGCCGGTCGAGCGAGCCTCTGGGCCGGCGGCTGGGCAGCAGCGCGGCCTCGCTGCACCTGCCCACCACCTCCGGTAGTAATCGCTTTCACTGCTACCTTGGAACTAGCTTCTACGGAGCCGTATCAACGACTTTTTTCCTACCTATTTTAGTAGCCTCCAGGGGTTATTCTAGATTCACCGAGCTAGTAGGTGAGCTCACGGGGCTCAAACCGGAGTGTTGCTAACACGAACCCTAGCAAGAGCAGTGCTTCGCAGAATTTACCACCGGATCGGAAACGCGACCCACTGAGAAGATCCGACGAGAAACTCATTGGGCTGTGTTAATTTACAGGACGGTGGCCGGTGCTTGAGGTTGCATTAACTACTACATCATATTTAAATTAAAATATATTCTACTTCATGAGTGCCGTCTCAAGGAACAACATCGAAGTCTCAGATGCAGAAGCGAATATTAAAATGTCATTGCTTCGTAGTAGAAATATGCAGAGTGGTGTTTACATGTGCGGCGNCGAGAAACTCATTGGGCTGTGTTAATTTACAGGACGGTGGCCGGTGCTTGAGGTTGCATTAACTACTACATCATATTTAAATTAAAATATATTCTACTTCATGAGTGCCGTCTCAAGGAACAACATCGAAGTCTCAGATGCAGAAGCGAATATTAAAATGTCATTGCTTCGTAGTAGAAATATGCAGAGTGGTGTTTACATGTGCGGCGTCAAATCCTCCGTCGCAGGATCAAATTCATGGCTCCATCTCTTTCATTCATTGCTGAATCTTTTCTTTACATATCTTAATTCCTGGACATAACAGCATCGAGAGTCGCGATCGTTTATTATTAGTTTGAGCATTCAAGTATACTAATGAAGCTTATCCAAACACAGGCCACAAAAAAGCTCTGTCAGCCCACCGAAGTCACGAAGACATTGGACGCAGGAAGTCTCAGTGTGAAAACAAAGAAGATGGACGTTATCACTCTGCTCCCAGCGTCATTGACGAGGTCATACACAGGAGGGACTGGGAACGATCCACTAAGGAACTTTATATCCCTTTGAAGCCCGAACCTAACTCCGATCTGTCGACCAGCCCCGAGGCACCGCACGCGGAACCGGAGTCCTCATCCGTCGAGTGCCTCAGACACGAGGAACAGCCAAAACCGTGCAAGAAACATCACACCAACATCAAATCATCTAAACAGCACAATAATAAAGAAAGTACGAATGATGACGTCAAAGATTCCGACGCCACTGAATTTGCGGACTTCTACAGCGCAGACACTCGGCGAGACAACGTCGACCAGAGCGACGCGGGGCCCGAGGACGTCGATAACGAAGCGACCGTCGATAAGTCGACGTCCTGTACCACCAAGGAAGTGAAGCAGTCGTTGAACGAGTCCATCCGCAGCAGGGAGCGCCCCCGGTCCGCCCTCGCGCCCCTCGACGAGAACCAGCCCCGAGTCTTGGGGTTTAATTTGGAGGATGTCATAAACCAGTTGGACGCTTTAGATCGGTCGGGGGCCGTGCACCACATCGCGGAGTCCCGGGGGAGCGGCGCGGGGTCCGCCCTGCCCCCCCCCGCCGCCGGTGAGTCTGATTCATTTACAAGGCCGCGTGGATATTGTTTGCATGCTCGCATGCTTACTGGAAGGGATTTTGTGAATTTTGATTAATGTGGCATTGAGCGCTAGTGTGAGTTGTTTCATAACCGACACATGCCTACTATATATTATTATACCTTAAGAGGTAGGGCGTTTTATTTGTACTTTACTCAGTAATTGATGTGTATTAGCGGGCTGGGCGTCGGTGTCGGCGTGGGGGGGCGGGGGACGCTCGCGACACGCCAGCGACGGCGACATACTGGCGTCCGCGCACCGACCGCAGTCCACCGCCTTCTCAGGTCAGGGGGGGCGGGGGGAGGAAGGAGAGGAAACACTGAACTTAACACGTTCATTGCATAAATATGACTAACTTTGTCCGGAGCTCCATCTTGCCTTTGTAAAATAACTGAAAGCGTTAACCGCATTGGCAATGAACGCGTTAACATGTGCGTAGATAGTATGAACAGAAGTGTAGCACTAGAGCGGGTAGAAGTACTTAGTAGGCCAGTAGGTAGTACAGCTTTTCAATCTGTCCCTTGAAGTCAAGTTACTAGTGGTTATTTTGGTTAATTTGGACTCGATGGAAGATGGTAAATATCAGACTGAAGGTAAGGTAAACCACTCAATAAACGACTTTTCTGCACTCTCGCACGACACCATTGCCCACCCGGGACAGAAGCCCGCGCCCGCTGGCAGCGGCCGCACCGCGCGGTGAGGGGGGGGGATCGAGCAAAGATCAATGACTTTTCATTTCATAGAAACCATCAAATTACCAGTCTTCGTACAGAGCTACAAAGAGCCGCCAGCCGCGGGGTGCCAGGCTGCTAGTCTGGAGACGCGGCAGTAGGTCCCACCTTACTACTCGCGTTGGTCCTCCAGTCCCTCCTCAGTGTGAGGATGCATCGCTAGCAAAATCTACTTATTTGCTTCAAGTTCTTTAATTTACAATTACTTTGGTTGATTTGATAATAATGCTGAAAAAGCTTTTGAGTTACAGACGCCGTACCTAAGATTCACTTTATGCAGCTGGGCTTGCTGTGTGACTTTTGATGTAAGCTTTCTGTTTCATAGATGCCAAACTATACTGTACTTAAATAGCTATACTAAACTATACTGGTGGTAGGAGCGCTTGTGAGTCCGCACGAATAGGTACCACCGCCCCGCCTTTTTCTGCCGTGAAGCAGTAATACGTTTCGGTTTGAAGGGTGGGACAGCCGTTATAACTATACTGAGACCTTAGAACTTATATCTCAAGGTGGGTGGCGCTTTACAGTGTAGATGTCTATGGGCTGCAGTAACCACTTAACACCAGGTGGGCTGTGAGCTCGTCTACCCAAACAACATCAATTAGTTAATGTAGGGGTGGTTCCTTAGCGCTCTGACATTCTTTTTTTCATTGTTTAGATGTGGAGACGAGCACGTGGCCGTGTACCCGTGTACGGCTTTGTATGATTACCAGTGCCCATAGACATCAACAACGCAAATGCCACCGCTCACCTTGAGACATGAGCTCTAAGTCTCTCCTTTTATAGTACAACAGCTCCCCCACCCTTCACACCGAAACGCATTACTGCTTCACGGCAGAAATAGGCGGGGTGGTGGTACCTACCCGTGCGGTAGTGGCGCGGTGGTGGTACCTACCAGTAAAGTACTTGACGAATATTATTTTAATAACAACAATATTGTGTAAATTTATAATAAGTTCACAATTAATCCCGAGCACTCATGGAGGTATATAAGTAAAATGTTATAGGATAGTAATTAACATTTCTTTTCGAACTTTCAGAAAGTGACCTAGATTTGGATCTTGAAAGTGCTGAAGAAATACCTCCAGCATACGAAGAACTCCAACAATACGCGTCTCCTGAGAGGAAGGAGACCGCTATTTAATGGATTTTATATGTGTTGATATACAGGGTGATGTGTAAAGGTTCCCGATAGCGAAGGCGGGTCACAGGCTCGGCCGTGTTCAATACAATAACGACGTGATACTGCGATCGGAAACTACGTTGTATTAAAGCTTCGTTCAAGGCACGCAATGTAACATAAAATAAGTCATTCATAAAGAAATACCCATGTTTTAAAACGAATGCAATATCATATTTATCTTGTATTGTCATTCGATTTGACGTTGTGTTCAAGCTTTCAAATTATCAACAAAATTGAGTCCGGGTATTTACAGTTGATGATTATTAATGTATGTAGTTGATTTATGTTCCGGGCTATGACCTGGCGCGGACGCCTACGGTACACTGACGGCTCCGTGGACATGAGCCGCGCGGCCCAGACCTCAAGGAAACTAGTTTACGGTTTAATCTCGCGTTTAGCATTGTCATAGCATAATTATATTTCCAGTAAATACTTTGTAGGATCTGTAGTCGCGAACGAGTGAGGTCGAGTGAGTCAGTATTGTGCTGAATGACTACTGCGATTCTGCTGTGAAATCAGAAAACAGGAGTTCCTTCTCATTGACATATTGTATGGTACAAAAGTCGATTTTGATAAACCAACATCCATTCAAGATTAATGTAGTTCTAGACGTTTCGATTTCATTTCTAAACAGAGAAGTCACATATAATAATGACGTCACTGCTCACATCCGCGAAATCAATTCGGCATCAACCCTCGCGACACCTCCTCGAACCCTCGGGTGTGTGGGACAGAGACATGGCATTCCCACTCTGTTTCCACTAAAAAACCTTGTAAACTTTATATGATATTTCTATAAAATTAAATTTTCACAGAAACTGTGTACGGCAATCGCAAATCAATCAATCGTACTCGTCTTCACAAGCTGCTGCCTACCGCGTGTCCCCGACCGGGGCTGTTGCTGCGTCGGAACAATTATGTAGCAATTAAGCTTAAAGCTCGTGCTCTTGTGTTCTAAAAGATCAGACACTAGTCAGCGTCAAGCCATACAATCTAGTGTGCGAGTGTAAACAAGGCCAAAAAACTATTTAAAATTAAACCTAAGCCTCCCAATGAGATTGGTAAATGAATTAATTCAATTTGCTTAGAAATTAACGTAATTTATTTAGTATGTAAGTCCTTTCCTTTTAAGTTCTCACAGGACGACGTTGCTATTACTGTAGATCGACAATTGTTGTTAGTTAAGTGTTGATTTTAAATGTCCCGCTTCTTTATACATATGTATATCATATTCTCAGCCGCGACAGCCTCGACAGGTATTTAGTTGAGTGACGGTGGGGCGCCCGACCGGACCGTGAGTAGTCGTGAGCAGTTGGCACAGAGCAGACAGAGTATTGTGACGTCACCACTGTTGAACTATGGCAACCCACCGCGCAGCGCCCTCTGTTGGCCGCCCTACCATCTCTGAGTCAATTATACGTATTGTTACGAGCCGGGCCTCACAATAAATACAAACTCTTCATCGGAATACTAATTAAAATTCAATATAATTATCACTAGCATAGAACAATTTTCAATTCGATTGTCGCTATCAATTGTCACGATGCTATAGTCGTTTCCACTGGCTACAATCTTCCAGTGTGCTTAGTGCGAGCTTTTTAACTTCTCGATCGCGTCAAAGTTAACTCAAATTTGTATGAAGTTGGAATAGCGCCCCTAGCGGCAAACGAAGAGAGGCTAAAAGGCAAGAAACTCGCACTGAGCACACAGAAATCAGAATATTCTCGACAGTACTAGGTTTGTCTGGCCTGTGCTCCGAGAATCCTTGGCGCTATTAAGCACTCGATGCAACTGGGACACTGAAGAAATGATTCCAGAATATTCGAGAGATGCTCCGGTAATTGGCCCCTGACGACAGATGGCGTTACTCATAGCGGCTTAACTATATTGTGTATTTTGGTGACGTTCAGTCTGAGGAAGACACGAGACGAGTCGTCGGACGTCTCTAGGGCTGTCGCGTCTACATTGTTACAGAGTATTGAACTTTATTACGTTCGGCTTTGTCTCTAAAAGTCTATCACACGTGACTTATATTTTCACTTCGGTGTGCTTAGTGAGAGTTTTTTAACGTTCTCGATAACGTAAAAGTTAGCTCATATTTGTACGGAATGGGATCGTTTGCCTACGTTTGCCGCTAGGGGCGCTGTTCCAGCTGCATACAAAATTGAGTTAACTTTGACGCTATCGAGAACTTTAAGAAACTCGCACTAAGCACAGTTTCGTCCGAAGTGATGCGTGGACCGAGTCACACACCTGTGTAATACTCGTATAGTATTATTGTGTTGGCCCAATAATTATTCTTGATAATTTAATTGTAAAATATTTCTTGTTCTATGACATTGTAATTACAGCTATGTGTATAAGTGAAATAATGAAGAGATTCCATATGTATGTAATTAACTTTATAAATACGGGTCATTCTGTACATAATTTAATGTTTAAAATATGAATTATACTAAATGTTATCGTTCTAAGATATGTTTCATTTCGTGTTGTTTGATGTTACTTGAGAATGTCGTAGAAGTTCTCACCTTGTGTGACAACCTCCTCAGGGCCGTATATAGACTTAACGCCGCTTCTAGACACCGGAAAAAAATCCGCCCCAATACTGGAAAACTTAAACTATAGTTTATATATTTTATTTTTCAAAATTAAATAACTAATTTATTGCAGAAACTTTATTATATGTATGTTATATATTCCAAAAACAATTAAATATTTGTTTGTCTTTCTAACAATTATTTATAAATTTAAATTTGGCACTTTAACTATATTACATAAAAAAACTAATTAAATTTCTTTAATTCCAGAAAATAGAAAAATCGATTATTATTTTAAATCTCCAATAAAATTATTAAATTATTTTGATTATTAATTTTTACCAAAAGTGCCAAATTTATAATTCATAAATAATGGATTGAATTTCTTAAATTATCAATTAAACAGAAAATTATTGTTTCATAGAAGTAATTAATTATATTGAACAGTCTTGATAAGACTAAATTTTTTTCATTCACTTTCAAAAATTTTGTCGTCCTGGGCACTTGCCCCGCCTGCCCCTAGTGTAAATCCACCACTGAACCTCCTGTACTCCTTAGGCATCGCGACCCGACCGGTCGAGCTTGGAGCCGGCCTGTAGTTCAACTCACCTTAGGCCATATTTGTGACCTTGGTATAGACGGACAGTCGAGCTCATTACTCTCCTGGTGCTAAGAGGGAACCGTAGTCAGACTCCACAGCGAGAGTATCATGCGCGCTTTGAGACAAGAGATCGAAGCTTTGATCGCCTTACAATATATAGCTTTATATTGTCCGTCAGCCGTTAGTGCAACCTACATAATTGATAGGGTCGACTAGCGGCTAGAGAAAATATAATTCAGAACGACACCGCACATCAAAAGTAAAAGAACATAATACAAATTCAAATGTAGTGCTTCATAGACAATTAATTATACGTGGACAGCAACACGACCTTCTTCCAACAATAATGACGAAGGAGACAGCAATGAAACTTCAGTGGATATTCAAGAACAATTGTGTATTAAAGACAAACCCGAGCACAGCGCAGGACGCGTACAGCTAACACTTACTTGAAGCGACATTCAATACAAACGTTAATATACTTTCTTATTTATACAAAATACTCATTATTTTAATAGTTATGGAATTGGTCGGTTGTGTGAAAAGCATGTTAAAATGAACTTGACTTGGTGAAATCTACTAGTATTTTAACTCGGACATTGGCAAACGAGCAACCGGCTTGAACATTGTGCACTCAGGCATCCACCCAGAGCCGCAGAACCCGTCCAGTGTCCTTCATCGATCTCTTTACCTTTCTCATACGCGGCTCTGGAAGTAATCTCTCCAAGCTTCTCAGCGACATGAGATGTCTTACTTCAAACGTGGCTTAAAAAGTCCTTAAAAATGGAGAGCATCTCAACAATATACCGATGACGATGTTCCTGTGTGGTCCGATGGACCTGTGTTTTTCTTCCCTATATATTCGCCAATAGCCTTAGGGGCTATGCCAGCTTCACGCGGACGGGACACAGCCGTTATCATCTACCATCCAACGTGATTAAAAGGGGGCTTATAATATTTTATTTAACCCTACACAAACACGCATGACATACGAGAACAGATTTAGCACAAACAGTCGCAAAAAATAGCGTTTTAATTTCGGTTATATTTCTCTCTTTATCTTGCTTTCTTCGTAGCGCAAATGGTGCCAGAGACGGCTTTACCCTTTATGCAGGGAGGGGGCGCAGCGGCTCTACACTACCAATGAACCTGCGCTAAGGCTTACTATGATGCCGCCCGTTATAACCGAACCAAACGTAAAAAGAGCTCCGATATGTACACATTTTATATGAAATTACGGGTTCTTCTTGTATGTGTCAAGTTACAGGAAAGTACGGTACGCCACGTTCTTACCATACAAACATTTGTTTCCAAATTAAAATAAACAGATATAATTAAAAATTACATTGGTGTAGTAGTGAGTGTCGCGTCATTACCGACTTTGTTTTGTTTGAAAGTAAGCTGACAATCTTTGCGAATTCGGCTAATTGCCATAAAAATAAATTTCAAGTTGATTTGAATGAACGCGGCGTTTCTCAAAGGCATGTGTACGTACTCGTTTGGCCCTTTGACTTCTATAAACTTACAATTAACATTGACATAACATTAGGGCCCACGCACTAGAAGAGAGCTCAAGGCTAACAATGAGTGCAGTGCACACGGGCCCGGGCTAGAGACGCCTTTGAATGATGCCGTGACTTCACATGAGCACAGTCTGCCCCTTTTGCATCAGAACGGGGTTTTTGATACACCTTGTGCTATTGTAATTCGTTCCTCCAGAAAGCAGCCGCGTTGTCTTCGTTAAGTTCAATCATTATTGTGTTAGTGCGAGTTTTTTAACGTAACAGCGCCCCTAGCGGCAAACGCAGGGAAACTTTCCAACTGTTAACTTTTACGCTATCGAGAACGTTAAAAAGCTCGCATTGAGCACACAGTACGGCTTAGTTTCGTTACAATAAAATTTAAATTATTTGATGTTCACATTTAACTAGGTATTTATAACAAATTACAATTATAAAGCTATATTTATAATACAATTACCTTATTTTTTACCAATAAGTATTATGTCTAATTCCGGCAGGCACGAAACATTTCATTAAAAATTCATTGTTGAATTTTTACATTATACTTTATCGTTGTATATATATTTATACACACATAATTATGTATGTATGTCTGCATCACGAACAAGGACGACAATCCCGTAGTGTCTGTGGACTTTGGTGTCTTTCAACAAGCAACATCGCGCTTATTTGTAGGTGCAATGTGATCTTCAATTACACTAACAATAACTTCTGGAGCACTGTTTTTTTTAACTATCTGTTTATTGTAGCTCTAGGCTTTTTCTCAATAAGCTAGTGACAAAACATACTTGAGAACAAACACATTATATATATGAAACATAATGCAAGGAAAGTAACGAAGTAAAGACGTCAGTGGACACAGGACACAACAACAAATCGAAATGTCTCACACTCGCCAAAACCCAAGCAAGTGGACGGCTCACTATACATTGAGTCTGGAACACTTTAGTTCCAAGTTAATGGACGGTCCTTTTTTTATTTATTGCCCTTGTAGGCAGACGAGCATTCGGCCCATCTGATGGTGAGTGGTCACCGTCGCTTATGGACGTCAGCAATGCCAGGGGCAGAGCCAAGCCGCTGCCTAACGTTTCATGTACACTTTAATTAAAACAATTTTCTTATCAGCGGCCGATTAGAAATTAACCACATGTCATACACGTCGTTGTCCGTCCCTGACCCCCGCACTGGCAGTCCGGGTCGCTAGTCTCTGTGGATCTGTTATCCGAAGTCGCAGTTAACGCTAAATACGGCGCTAGCGTGAGCACTGGTGAACACACTCCAGACCCATATTGTCATTGACAAAAACAAAAAGTACAAGTACCAACTCAAAAACCCTCAAACAACATGTCCGCCAACACAATCATAACACAGCCTTTATCTGACGGTGAGAGCTTCAACCGCCCCTGAGGACGGCACGGGACCAAGCTTCTCTTCGACGGCAGCCCCTTCCCCCGCCCCCGCAGTGACGTCACCTGCGCCTCCCCCGGCCCCCATGTCCCCCTGGTGCGCGGCGGGGGACGTGGAAGTGGGGAACACGGTGTCCCCCTTGCCGCCCTGGGTCGGGAGCTGCTTGCACAGCTTCGCCATGGCTGTGGCGCCCTCGCGTACTACTGTAATCAAAACACAACAAATTTAAGTAGGTATGTTCCAATGCAATGCTTACTAATGGAAAATTCTGGCGGAATTCGCGCAGCCGACCATGTGACGTCGTCTTTGTAATGAACCGATAAGTAATGTAAGAGTAATGAGGCAAGAGAGGGGGGGGGGAGAGAGTTAACGTCGTGGTTCGTACCACACGATGCACGGTGTTCGAATCCCGCAGGCATGTTTCAGTTTTTGTACTGAAATACGTAGAATCTTAACAAAATTAAATGCTCTCGATTGAGTTCCACGGTAAAGGAATAACATCATGTAATAAAAATCAAGCATGTTCTAAACTATTCTAAAGCATCATGTAATAAAGACCCGCAAAGTTGTAATTTGCATAATTACTGGTGGTAGGACCTCTTGTGAGTCCGCGCGGGTAGGTACCACCCCCCTGCCTATTTCTGCCGTGAAGCAGTAATGCGTTTTGGTTTGAAGGGTGGGGCAGTCTGTAATAGCTGAGACCTAAGAGCGTTGGCGTCAAGGTGGATGGCGGCATTCACGTAGAAGATGTATACTCCATTAACTACTTAATACCAGATGGGCCGTGAGCTTGTCCACCCATCTAAGTAATAATAAAACAGTGTCAAACTCCAACGTGTTTCTACACGCTACGCCTCAATATTATGAATTATCATTTAACTTCAGATTTTGTTGTCAATAGATGGCGCTGTATGTTTCAATGATTGGAAATAATTCATACAAAAGTTGCATCAAGATACCCCATAAGTACGCATCGCAGATAGTACACGGTAATTACCCGAATGATGAGAGCGGAAGAAGAATGATAGAGAGCTCAGCGATACGAGTGTGGCGACATTTCCACATTATAGATTCCTAGTTCAACGTTCCTATCGTTTTTATTGCACTTGAGCATGCGGCCCATCTGGTAGTGAGTATATACCGCCGCCCATGATGATGGTGGTCAGTAACGCGCGGGCGCAGACAAACCATTACCGGAGCCCACTAGATCATCCCCTACAGAGTTTTTGTGTGTTCTATTCGAGACTACACAAACGTTTTCGGATCAGAAGGCATGATAGTTTCCCTTCTGGAACTGATCATACGATGCGATCGGAACAAACTGAGTCTAAGTCGTCGTGGCCTAACGGATAAGGCGTCTAGTGCATTCGTGTTGAGCGATGCACCGGTGTTCGAATCTCAGGCGGGTACCAATTTTTCTAATGAAATACGTACTCAACAAATGTTCACGATTGACTTCCACGGTGAAGGAATAACATCGTGTAATGAAAATGAAATCCGCAAAATTATAATTTGCGTCATTACTGGTGGTAGGACCTCTTGTGAATCCGCGCGAGTGGGTACCACCACCCTGCCTATTTCTGCCGTGAAGCAGTAATGCGTTTCGGTTTGAAGGGTGGGACAGCCGTTGTAACTTATTTACAGGTTTTATTTAAGGTTTATTGTGCGCTCTCCTCCGCACGCAGGGCGGGGTATCATTCGCCTACATAACTATACTTGAGACCGTAGAACCTATATCTCAAGGTGGGTGACACATTTACGTTGTGGATGTCTATGGGCTCCAGTGACCACTTAACACCAGGTGGGCTGTGAGCTCATCCACTCATCTAAGCAATAAAAAAAAACTGTACGTAATCTGTCGTAGCGATAAATGGATTCTCTAACACATTTGCTTTAGCAAGATATTAGTTGTAAACTGACAAGTATACCTGGTTGTACTGGGTACGAAGCTGGAGCGGCCGGGGCGCGGGGGGCGGTCGGCGTCGGGGAAGGACTCTCCTGCGAGGATAGCTCTGGAACGAAATAACAAGTACTTCGACAGTGAAACATTAAGCCTGGGTATTCTACTTTATAGACGTTTGTACGAAATGGAGGCACATCATTGATTAAAAGTAATACCCCGCCGGCAGGAAGTCTCCGCGGCACGGTGCGGTCAGACCCGCCTGAGGTCTACGAGACCAGGTCATCGACCTGCGCAACGCATAAGCCAAATGGAGAAGCCGGACGGTGGGACTTACCCGTGCGGCCTTAAGTACAATACTTCCCACCACATCAGTAAAAAAGCAAAAATTCTATGACCGCTACCACAGCTGAGATATTTTAGGTATCTTTATTTCATTTGGGACACTAACAGTCTATCCATTACATACAACCAAGATTACTTTATCAATAATTATCTTGTATCAAAATCAATATACTTAAATGTGAATTGTATAGTAAAAGGCTTTGGGTTTGCAATCGTGAGCAAGTGAATAGAATCGAATTAATCCGCGCGTTTTACAATGAATCTCAAAATATAATCTGCGGTCTACCCCCGGGCATAGTGGGCGCACTCGAGCGAGTGTAAGTATCCTCTATCCTCGACCACGTGCGCACGGATCTAAGATATTATGGAGCTCACCTTTAACTTTTCTGATGAAATAATAGAAGAAGTAGAAACACAGTAGGATGAGGAGGCCGAGGATGCCCGCCAGCGCCACGTAGTACGCGACGTGGCTCGGAGGGCGGGCCCCGCGCGGCGCTCCCATGGCGCCTCACCTGCGCGACTCAAGCTGCTTTAAACAGTTGCAGCCTGTGGAACGTCGCCACGTCGCTTCCGTAATAAAATCAAAATAATCTAGGAATTTCTGTGACGGCCGAAAAAAATATAAAACATTTCTGTTTGTACGCGACACATTTTTCATCTGAATAAATTGTAACTCTCACAGCTGTTGACTGTTTAACTGTCTGTAGTGGTGCCGGATAGCAAATAAATTTTTAATAATTAATAAAACATTCTAGAATCACAAGCGTCTGTTGGGAAACCAGATCAGCCTCACCTGGAATATGTTTTTGAGTAACCCTCCATTTAGGACCACAAAGCATTAGAAATTCGAAAAATTCATTATTACAAAAAAACACTTAAACTAAATTACATTAATTGTACAAAGGACTTGTAAAGTTCAAGACATGGTCGACTTGTGGTCGCTTATAGACTGAAGTCTTCGTTCTGTCGGCCCCGGAGATCGCATCATGTGAAGCACAGAGCGACGCAGTGTCACGCTGTGGCTCAAGGACAGGGAGGAACAATAAGGGAACTTAATATATAGTATAAACCGAACTTGTTAAATATGTAGCATATTTTGCTACCGCCCTATCAGATAATTGTACAGACCTGAATTAGGTTGCGATTCATGACGCACGTGTTTTCATCTCATTCATTTTATCTTCATAGGAAATGCCGGAAATGCCGTTAAATTTTGATAAAATTTTGTAGTATTTTGAATTTACTTTTAATCCAAGTCTTCAGGCATTTTATTAAAAAAGTTCGAACTAAGTAGATATTTAATATAATAAAAAATACCATAATATACTGCCTTACTGTCTGTAGTGTAATGTAATGTAAAGATGGAATATAAATATAAAAAGCGTAGCTGGAAAACAGAGCGATGTAATAAGGACATGGAAGCTGTGTTGATGGGAGGGGTGATCTGACACAGCAACAAGTGTCGGCGACACTCCGGCGCCGCTCAGACACTAAATACCAGGGCTGATAGTCCTAAAATAATTTCGATTGAACTCTATATCTACATTTAATTAGCACATAAATCCAATAAAATACGCACTTAGCACTTATTGACAAAGAAATTTGCCAAATTATTAAGCCCGCTCGGGTTAGTATTACCATCCTGTCTATATTTGCCGAAAAGCATTATTATGTTTCAGCTTATAGAGTGGGACAGCCTCTCTACTATGCAATTAAGTCTTAAACCTCACGCTTTGATGTTTATGTGCTCCATAACCACATAAGGCCGGAGGGCCCCATACAGAGTGGTCTCGTCCGATGTGTCGACGATCCGACGGCCAGCCTGGAGTTAAGTGGTTACCGGAGCCCATAGAAATTAGCCACGCAGATCCTGTTACCCACCTTGAGAAAAGTGTTAAAAGTCTCAGCTTTTACAATTCAACGGCTGCCTCACCCCTCAAAACGCAATACTACTTTACGGCATAAATAGACAGAGAAGCGGTATCTATACCAGTAGGCTTACGCGATGCTCTATCAGCAATAATTATAAAAATCATAATTTTTATGGGTTTGATTATTATTAGACGATGTTATTTCCTTCACAGCGCAAGTAATTCGTGAACATTTGATAGGTACGTAGATCGGTAGAAAAATTGGTATAGTTTTGGTCGCACCGCTTAATACGAATGCATCGGACGTTTTACCCTTTAGTCCACAACGGCCTAGGCGGTAGGCAGCAACTCAACCATATCCCTGCCATTGCTGATCCCTCATGATCAAGTGAGCCGTATACTCGTCTGCTTATTAAGGCGGGCGGCAATACTGGAATTGAGCGTAGTCATGTCGAGGTATTCTGCCATTTCTTCTGATTCTGTGATTTACCCGCTCACCTAAGCATGAGTTTCAACTCAACCCTGTCTAAATTGTGAAATCGACGACTGAAGCGAAACGATAAGACAGTTTCACAAGTGTACTATTCATTATAAATAAATCCACTGAAACTACGGACGCTAAAAAATATTGAAAACGTCGAGTACAGGATACTGAACCTGAGATTAAAGCGTAAATTAAATTTTATTTATGTAAGATAATACGTTATGGCAGCCCTATAGGCTGATGTTGTGTTGCGACAGTAGGGCGCCGCAGGAACAACTCACAACGCGCATGCGCTTTACTGATTTTCTTCTACTTGTGCGTGTTCTAGCCGATTGCCGAGTGGGTAATTCAACAGTATTGACTTTAAGAACCCAGTTAGGTTGGATTTAACATCAATAAAATGTCTCAAAATGAGAATATACTGGAAAAATTATGCGAATTAATTAAAAAAACATATTGCCAAATCGAGTCTTTTTTTTTTATTGAAATCTGGCTGAAATAGACAAGATCACAAGTTCAGGAACGAGCACGTGCCCTCGTGTGTTCTGTTTTACTGAAAGGTTCTGGATTACTGGCCAATTTATGTGGGCAACCATCCCAGCAGCGTTATTTAAGGACTATACCAGCGCACTGCGACCGACAACTAACAATAACGGGAGCTGCAGCGAATTAATTGTCTTTCAATCATGTATTGACTTGTTGGTAACGAGTTTTTTGAACCATAAATTTGTTTTACATTTCACTTTGGGTGCTATTAATGGGTGTTATATCTTATTTGTTAAACTAAAATACCTACACATAGGTATATGTCGGCGCGAGGAGGATTAGTTTCATTATTTAAACCCACCACTAACTTTAGTAACGTTTCAAAGCATTATTTGTACGAACCATAGTTTTCTTATAAATATGGCGGCCAGACGGCGTACAAGAATGTCTACGTCATTAGAAGCTTGCAGCTCTAGCAATAGGAGTAGGATGGACAGACATGGACTTCGGTCCCACCGCCAAAATGGTCCCTGCGACCATCCTGGAGGAGGACATTCGTGCCGCCCGGTCGAGGGAGAGCTCCCCTTTCGTCTCAGAACTGCTCTTAGGTTGCTCGTTCACAGTACGTCCGGCGACGACACCGACGACGGCAACGCAGACCGCACCGCGGAGCGAAGTCACCGAGGCGTCGTCCCATCCTCCTAATGCCAGCCCGCTAAAGGGATGGTTGCGAGCAACGCGACTCGACCCGCTCAGGTCGCTCCGTGACCGGAGAGGATACTGCGTCCTCACAAGCTCAAATCAACTCAAGCTAACGCGTTGAACATAGTAAATGATTAGTTTAATTATTATTTTTTTGTGCCATGCATCAGCTGGCTGAGCTTCTCGCTGGATCTTCTCAGCGTTTCGTGATTCCGATAAGGTAGTAGATTCATACGCGAAGCAGTTGCTCTTGGTTATTAGATCTCCTTCGGAGGCGCTCGGGCAGCTGTTAGCAAATCCCACCCCTCCTGGGTGAGCCTTTGCTGGCCGACCTGTCCTCGTGAAACTGGAAAGGCCTCCAGGTCCCCATTAAAAGTTGTAGTTTATTTTAGTAAATGTTGGAATTCTCCAAACTAAAACGTCCATTCGTTGAAAATTATGCAATACGACGGGAATATGTAGCAGGCGCGTATATAATGAACGAATTGCACTCGCGGTGTTTCGCTTGTTGTTCGTTCAGATACAGCCAGCACAAAGAATCATTTATTTGGTGCGCCAAACGCCTAAACCAGCCCGTTTTAATGAGAACCCAGCATTTCAAGTGAGCTCGAATTTTTAAGTAGGGTCATAGATTATACACTTAACATTGAGTAGGGTTCATAGAGTTAGTATTTTACTTAACTCCATGGTAGGGTTATATCACTAATTTTTTTAAGAGATTTTATGACCTGGGAACTAAGACTTGTAGGTCAAGTCTTATTTTAATTTATATTCTTATTTTGTGAAAAACGATAATATGAAGTGAAATGAAATGAAGTTGATTAATATGAAACATGGCATGAAATGAAGTAAAGTGAAATGAAATCAAATGAAATGAGACGATATAGGATGATATAATCTCAGTAAAATGGTGGTCGTTTACTGAGATTTTTTCAGTGGATTTTTTGGAGGATCCCGAGAAGTTACGTCTAGCGGCTTTGTTTCATTTTCCCACGTTTGTGCACTTTCACAGATATTAAACAGTTAATAAACCACCGTTATTACACATTTAAACCTGAAGAAACACTAAATAGACAAAATAAAACAAATCACACAACTTCACTCCTCGTGTTCCCGCCAAAAAGTCTTATATCGTTAATAAAAACACAAAAGCATAGATTATACTGATGTAATAAAAGTCTGTACCCAAAAGGGAATTCCCAATTCTCAGTTAGTACGTATGTGTATTATCTATGGTCAATATTTCAGGAACCAACAGAAGACCTAAATGACTGTGTAGGTAGTAGGTACCTGTACCTACCTACAGTGTTTTTAGACTTTATTAGTGTTTACGTGTGTAGATTTAAGAGTTCACAACAAATTTAAAAATACGTACCAGTAGATTTTTTGTAAACTGCCAGTTTTTATACTATTCATGCAAACTTTTAGTCTCCGCCGGGTATATAATTAAAGGCAATACCTATCTATTTAATGTATGAATCAGAACCTTGACAATAAAATCTAAGATGTTGGTAGGAATACTTTATACAATACTTTACTATATTAGATTGGAAGTCAGTAACGATTTATTAATAAAATAATCAGAACACAAAATAACAAAAGATGAGCTGTCGTCGCAGCGTAGATAGTTACTTGTTTCACTTAATTGTATATAATTATCTTAATTTCGTATTATTTGTATAACTCCAGTTAGACTACACAAGTACATGATTATATTACCCGTACTGGTCGCATTAACTTCATCATTACTGACAAGTGATTTTGAGAATAGAAAAGAAAAACTTGTAATATCAATATTTTGCTGGGACAATGGTATGTAATATTTATTTTTCACAATTATAACAAGGCATTTTCTAAATTCCTTTGAATGAATAATCTCCCATAATCATATTTGTGTATTAATTATTTCAATAAATGGAAAAATGTCTAATCAATAAATTAATAGACTTACCTAAGATATGATTTAGGATGAAAAATATAAAAAAGTTATGGAATGTAATGTAGTTATTACAAACACTACGCGAATCAGTCTGTGTTGTGCTTGTTAGAGCATTGGATTGTATGTATATAATACTTTGTTAGTTGCACTTCATACTATTGTCATAATTCCTGACAGATGTACCATATACCATCCCTGTGACAAGGCAGTTATGGAATAAAATGAATCCTTCGAGCACTGGCATTTATTATTTTCAACACGCATTTATTTTCAAAATTGAATTAGGACAGTGTTTGAGATAAAGGATCTTCTCCAATATTTCATCTGATTACTCATTAACGCACATAATACAAAACTCAGAACTTTATACATGAACCACACTGGCTGGGCCCTGAATTTTTTTAAGATTGCTCTTCATTTTGGTTGGTTCATTGCAGTCCAATCACATAATGCCTTGTTTTTTATACACTGTTCTGCAATTTTGATTTAAAATGATGGAAAATGTGTATACCTCAATGACTCACTAACCAAATGTTTTTTAGACTAAAAAGTTTTTTTACATATACTATAATTAAATTTTGAAACTGTTCAAAATACTACAATTACAATAAATAATGCAATACAGTTATTTTAAAGATTTTAGTTTTCAAATACAAAAAAAGAAGCCCCATGATTTTATACATCTAAAAGTGCAATAGTTTATGAGTCGACTGTGTGATGTAGAGTGTGAAGCAATATATATCATAAATATACATTATTAAGTCATATTAAATTGTCAGTTTATACAAAACAATGTCTTGCAGGTTAATCAGTGAACTGATATTACTTTAGGACTCTAGAACAATGGATTGGTCAAAAATAGCACCAGGTGCCTTGTCAATCATCATAGTCCTTTGTATAATATTCTGCTGCTGTCGACGGCGCCGGAGAGAGGCACGCGTGTTGATACGTATGTACCAATCTTTTTTTTTTTTGTTTCTCCTACCTAAGCTAATGATAGCCTTGAGAGGTTATTTCAGCATAAGCTTAACTAGTAGGTGAGCTCACGTAAAACGTGGCTCAAACCTGACGACGTTGTTAACAAGGACCCTAGCCAGACCCGTGCTTTGCAGAATCTACCACCGGATCGAAAACGCGACCCACTGAGAAGATCCAGCGAGAAACCAGTGGGCTGTGGCTGTGGGTTAATTTACTCGTCGAGCCCTTCGTCGCAAGCGAGGGGTTCGACGAAAACGATGACCAGGTGTACCACCTTGGATGCCACTACAGATGAGTGTTCAACCCAAACACTCATTAGTAATGCCATGGCATATTATGAGCCTGTACTGTCAGATATCATGATCTAGCTGAATTATATCACTCCCCCTACAATACAATAAAAACTTTGATCACATGATTCAATGTGCTTAGCTATATTCAACTGTGGTGTCTGCACAATTCTGGTAATCACATTACACCAGAGCCAATTTGAGATAGTAAAATATTTAATGGTCACTTTGTAAAGGCAAGGCTAGACGAAAACAACTGGAAGGCTTAATTTATTTTATGTACCTATTATATACTAGCTATTCCACTGATAACACAAACTAATATTGATTTCTAGTATTCACATTGTGCAAATGAAACATTCTGGGAAATTTCATATTTTCATATCCTTATAAATTACTGTGTCACTGTTTTCTTTTATAGCGCCCANAATGGTCACTTTGTAAAGGCAAGGCTAGACGAAAACAACTGGAAGGCTTAATTTATTTTATGTACCTATTATATACTAGCTATTCCACTGATAACACAAACTAATATTGATTTCTAGTATTCACATTGTGCAAATGAAACATTCTGGGAAATTTCATATTTTCATATCCTTATAAATTACTGTGTCACTGTTTTCTTTTATAGCGCCCACAAACGTCGTCGTCAATGCGCCTTACCCGACTCAGGGTGTGCCATACCCGGCAACTCAGGGTGCGCCATACCCGACAACTCAGGGTGCTCCATACCCGACAACTCAGGGTGCGCCATACCCGACAACTCAGGGTCTACCATACCCAGTTGCTCAGAGTGTGCCATACCCGGTTGCTCAGAGTGCGCCATATCCGGTTGCTCAGAATGCGCCATACCCAACAACGCAGGGTGCACCATACCCGACAACGCACGGTGCGCCTTACCCAGTCCATCATGGTGTAGGAGGATACTCGATGGCTCCACCCCCTGCAGACCTGAATGTGGCGAACCCAGCACCCTCGGCACCGAACCTCGCAGGTCAGTATTGCTCTACATGATCACACCACACTAGGCTGTGGGTACTTCTACCTACTTGTATATACACCTTTTCATTACAGAAACATTGCGCAAAACACATACACAGTTATTTTGTGATAGATAACAGCAGCTAGCATCGTAGATTGGCAAACTGCCCCCTTAATGCTAAGCCGTCACCGCTCACTGGAAACCGTTTCAAGACCCAAGTCAGTCTTGATTGTATTAGGCTTATCAAATCAGCCATAACCGCGCTGCCATGCGTCTATGTATTATAGAGACTCGCAACGACGCTCGAAGTTCAGGGTGCGTCCGTGTTGTGGGCCGGTGCACCCCCGCACCGAGCGTGACGTCACGTTGCATACTTCATATCAGAGCCACAAGGCCGTATGTCCATTATTGAAATTTGAAACTGCGAACGTCAAGCATTCGCTACACCGATTTGAACAGTGTCGACTGATCGTATCAGACACGGTTACTCCTCTTTGCGAAGATAATCCTCAATGCTGGGGGTCGTGGCCTCCTTTAAAAACTTTTCCTGGATTATCCTGCGCCAGCCCTGTCTATCCTCGGCGGGTGGTCCGATTGGCACATTACATTTCTGCCTCTGGGCCTTCTTCCGCATACCTTGCCTATTACCAGCAGCTTTTCTATATTGTCGCTATTTTTCTGGCAATCGGTCGCATGAAGCGTCAAATGAACAACGTAGGTCTTATTGTTCACTCCATGCAGAGTTATTGTTATATAGAAGATGCCCCGACCCAATGACCTCGTGTGACGTGGCTTTTTTTTTTATTGCTTAAATGGGTGGACGAGCTCACGGCCCACCTGGTGTTAAGTGGTTACTGGAGCCCATAGACATCTACGGCGTAAATGCGTCACCTACCTCGAGATATAAGTTCTAAGGTCTCAATATAGTTACAACAGCTGCCCTGCCCTTCAAACCGAAACGCATTACTGCTTCACGTCAGAAATAGGCAGGGTGGTGGCGCCTACTCGCACGGACTCACAAGAGGTCCTGCCGTATGCACTACATTGCACGCTTAAAAATAAAAGTATTAAAACGGTTGTTGGATCAGCAGAGTCATATCGCAGTCTTTAATGCTAAAGCAGTTTCGTTTGCGGGCGTCGTTTCGCCACAGTCTGTACTCGTACCCACGTGCGACCCCTAGTCAGTAGTCCTTCGCGTGTTGCAGCCGCGCCCCCCACTTACGAGCAGGCGGTCACACAACACAAGCAGCCGGCGTTCAACCCCAACTACTGACTCCGACCGACGACCCACGCGCCGCCACTCCGATAAACATGTTTCTGTTCAATGTACAAGTAAATAATAAGGACAAATGTGGAACTGTGATGCAGTAAGTACAGCCGCGCCGTGTGTAGCCTGGGGCTCAATAAACTAACTGCTATACATACGGGCGGCGCGAGTGGGTGCGGCATTCCTGTCTACATCTGCCGCGCACCAGCAACGTGTCCCGAATCGAAGCGTGGGGGCAGCCGGCGTACCATAGTCTGAGCATACCACAGACACTTGGACCCGTCGTGTGGACTGTGCAACACAGACAAGGTGTCATAAGGACTGTAGCTTTAACTTCCCCAACTCTGCGAGTGCACGAGTAGGTATTTCGTAACGATTTCATCATTTGTGTGAGTGTGACGGAGAAATAAAATTATAAATGTAATTAGATCATAAACAGATCGTCGTCAGCTCGTTATCGGCACGTCTGCGCGCCGCTGCACGTGATTAAGATTCGAGTAAAGATAACTTGTGTGCCCCCGCGCCGCCGGGATGCCGCCTCCTCGACTTGCAATTTAAATTCACGATTTTGTACTGCCTACTTAAGTAAACTGTACAAACCACAAGTACATTCCGCGCGGTGGCGCCGTGCAGCTCGGTGGTGCTGTGGTCCACGGTCCCGACGCGCCTCGGGACTGCGCTGAGCGACACACGCTCCTTACTAAATAACAATTTATTAAATTAACTTAAGGATAACATTTTCGGAAAATTGTCAGAAAATACTCAAACGTTAATGTAGGTACACTATGTAGCTTTATTGTATATATTAATTATATTATTTGTATAAACGTGTTTATGAGACAATATTTGTTAGCAATAAATATTGTTTATAACATTTTAGAAATATAATAAAGTACATTTAATCATCTACATAATAAGTTACTGTTAACGAGTTGTAGATGAACATATTTTCCTCGCATTGTGATAATAGGGAAGATTGTAGGAATTATGTACTTGTGCTGAGACATTATAGTTTTTATACTTATTTTTGTATTCAACAGTGATTATGAAATAAATTTGTAATAACTATTTTTTGTTAAAATTTATAGCGCGTTAGCTTCGGCTGAATATTGTCTGCTGTGACAAAACAGATTAGGGGCGACAGGCACATTGAGCATGTTCACCGGCGCTCACGGTGGACGTCAAAACTAACTAATAAGATAAACTAATTTGCCGCTCGACTAGAAGATATTTCATAAGAAATTAGGTGCTCAATTTCAAAATTCAAATATTCGTTCATTCACCTCGTGGCGGCTGCTACACGCGGGCACGCGCCCGCACGCCATTACGTCGCCTATAAGACACTAAAGATTTCTATTTTTCAATTAATTTGAAGTTTTGTTCATATAATACAATTGTAAACAAATAATTGGTTATTCTATTTATTTTTAACCTTTCCCACCCCAGCCTCGCGTGTCCGGCCCGCCCCACCTCCAGCCCAAGAACATTTGTTCCGGCTGGATGTCTCGTACCGACGGCTAGCGACCCCGACTGTCGCGGCACAGCCCGGTTGAGTTCCACTGGATCAACATAAAGACAATGTGCACTATGTGTCTACATATCTAAACTTATAACGTATTTCATTACTTAATATCAATCACGACTCGGTTACTATATTCGCGGATCTAATCGGTGCATACTGATTGATAAAAAATATTCCAACAAGTACCTAGATATCCAACCGAATAACCTTTGTAAAGGCGTCGTCAAATAGACTAATGAAAAATTAAAATAGACTTAATTACAACTGTTCCTAAAGTATGTTGTTAAATGATATCGCTGCTGTATTGGTTCTTGTAGAATCTATGCAAATACAAACTTTGACTGCAAATATTATGTAGCTGAAATTGCGAATGGAATAAGACGAGATGGGTTCGAACAGATAGAATGACATTCAGAAATTGCTTAGTTGTAACGAATCAACGTCACGTGATACATTGATGGCTGTGATTGGCCAACGATGACGTCATATCGCACGAACCAATCACAAAACAGGAAACGCAACAGTGGCACCAATTGTCAAAATTTAAAATTAATATAACACGAAGAAAAAAGATGGACGCGCATTTCAATTCTATATTTGTAAATTAATTAAAAATAATATAATGAGTATTTGAAGAAGAAAACGCATTTATTCATTTTCTTGGCCACCTCAAGATACATCTAAGAAATAGACGCAACACTTAGATTACAAGATGAAAATTTGACTAAATCCAACTTCTTAGAAACGTTAAGTTGCATAAAATGAAACTTAAAAATGACATCGCGTGATATTGAGAGGCGGCGCGGGCGGCCGAGTTGAAATTGCGCCTGCGTTCGCCATCAGATCGTGTCTCGACTGGTCGTGGTCGCTGCGACCGAGCGCAAGCGATTTTGTATTTTACAATACAAGTAGGTATCGTTCCTACAAAGTCTTACTTTGAAGAGGCAAAATGTTAATGCCACTGTTGCACATCAGTCTGATTTGAATGAGCTTTTAAAAACTGCCAAGCAAGAAAAAAACTGCAAAATTCTTTAAATCATTGCCTAAGCTTGAAGATAATAATCGTCAAAAACTTCAATTTATTAAACATTTTTTTTACATATTATTACTTATGTAATATACGTATACTTGTTTTTTTTACCTAGGAAAGTATTCCCTAAAATCCCATATATGTAAAATAAAGAGCTTTTACTGTATAAGATATGAAGGTAATTTTACGAAACTATATCTGTTGTATTTGTATCTTGTCTGGCAGGTGGTGAGTATGTATACAATGTATGTATAATATTTACAAGGGAGTTGTCTGGACGAGTGTGTTTGGAAATTGGTAGTTCAGCATCTGTAAAAGTGCAAAAGAGTAAGAAAATGAAACAAAATTGATGGACATAGTTCGGGCTTAATCTCCGTAGTAATAGCAGTTAGATTCTCAGTAAATTCACAGTATTTGACTGAGGTTTTTTTCATTCATTTAGCACCTACAATGGTGTCTTATTTCGTCTCAAATAATCATATTACATTCCCACAATTTCATTTTTTTATTCAGCTCTAATTCAATTTACAAACTTTTAAATACCTTCAGCCTTTGCCATAAATAATTTGGCAGTATAGGCCATGTTATTTGTGCCAGTACAATGGACGAATCTAACAATTATTTAATTGACAGTTGAAAGTCTTGACGCAGCGTGACAGATTAAGGTTATTTTTCTGTTTATTATTTCCAAAATTACCTAAAGTTTTTTCTCAACATCGTTAAATTACAATTTATCGCAAGATTTCTGTTATATTTGAATATTTGGTTGGTGACCGAAAGCAAAAACAAAAAGTAAGTAAAAAAAGATTAAATATTGTTAAGTAAAAAAAGGTTTGTATTACGAGTTCTAAATTAATGTCTGTTAAAAAAAATACTTTTATGCTTTAAGAATGAACGATAAATTTAAACTATTGAGTACGCATCTTCTTTCTTTTTAAACACATTCATAATACACTATATCGATATATAAATTGGTTATTGGTAACAGTTTGAATTGGACTTTTTTAGATATTAACACCAAAAAAAGATGTATAGTGGGATGTTACAGCAACTTCTGCCTCTACGAAGTATGTTAACTACACAACTAGCAAATTTCCACACCAAAGGAGCTTGTTATGCGGCTGCCAAGAAGACAACGACGGCAGCTGGAGGTATACAGTGACACTCAAACAAAATCTTCAATATTTTACTCTCTGCTTAATCAACCACGCTCTGTCAGCGAGGAATACTCTAATACTTCAGTTCTAAAGCTGTACTTAGACTATCTACTAACCTCAATGTAAGGAATATTGAAAAATGAAATCTGAAATGACTAGACACCAATGATGTGCATTAACCATACTCTCTAAAAAATTGTGTTAAATTTCAATTAAACAAAACAAATTTTGGATTAAGTACAAGTGTGCTTGTACATGATGACATTCAATTTTATGCGATCAGTAAGAACTCTTACAAAAGCTATGCAAATATTAAAAATTCTCATTTTAATAAAGTTCATATTCTTTAATATGCATTAAATGTAACGATTCTATATACAGGTGTGATGGGTCTGGGAAAGGGTAAGAAGAAAGCTGGCAAACTCACTGCCATGGAAAAGAAAGAGATGCCTGTAGAAACAGATCCCCACAAGCTGGTCAACTACGTATGTGGCTCCAACATATACACGACAGGTGAAGATGTCAAGGTATGTGAGCAACTCAATAGCACTGTTGCTATTTTCAACGTCTATATCTTTCGAAACGAGTATGATTACAAGAGCCTGTAAGGCAGGAGCCTGGGCGTGCAACTGATTTCATCAGCGATGATGACCACTCACCAGTGTGTGGTATTGGTCTAGAATAACACCTTCCCATCTCTTCCCCTTTGGGTCATAAAGGAGATTAAGGAATCCACAGTAGTATTCTCTAAATGTCATACAAGCATACTCTCATCATCTAAACTGGCATTCCCTAGTGTTAGGAGGTATTGTAAACCCGCATTGTAAACACCTCCAACCTGTGCACTACTGCCGTCAACCAGTCATGTGTTATTATTTGTTTGGAGGTATTGGACTTGTGATAACCATTATACAACACAATGGAGACTTAGATCTCATGTTTCACTGTGGGTGTCAGACCCCGCCTACTAATGTCTGTGAGCCTTGGTAGCCACTCAACATCAAGTGTACAGTGCGCTTGTTCACTTGTCTGAGGAATAAAAAACTTTGTTTCATTTGCTTTTATTTGAAGGCAGTGAATGTATTGTGATCTCCTGGTTAGCCTTGGAATCTGTTGTTGTGACTCCTTTTTTTTTCATGGCTGGACGAGCTTAGGGCCCACCTGGTGTTGAGCGGTTATTAGAGCCCGAGACATCAACAACGTAAATGCCACCACCCACCTCGAGACATGAGTTCTGAAGTCTCAGTCTTATAGTACAACAAGTGCTTAAACAGAAATGTGTTACTGTTTCACGACAGAAATAGGTAGGGTAGGAGTATCTACTCATGCAGGTTCACAAGTAGCTTTAACTGTAGAAGTCATTAATCGACATTTGTTAGGTACATATTCAGTAGAACAACTGGTAGCTGTCTTCGGGATTCACACTTCCTACGTGTTGTTTGTTTGTGTACATATACAGCATCAATCACATTGTAGATAAAGCCGGACAGTGAGTACCCAGAGTGGTTGTGGAGCCTCAACACGGGGGCTGCTCCTCGCATCGAGGACCTAGATCCGGAGACAAAGCAGTACTGGATCCGGGTGCGCGCCGCCGGTATGAGGAGGAACAATAAACTGCGCAGTCTCAGGAAGTTCTAAGGCCCTTGTTGTCTGTTAGCTGTTCTAATTAAACTATTTATAGCCAATAAATAATAATAAAACTATATGACAAATAATGTTTAGAAGGTTTTTGGGTCTTGGCGTGGCTGTTCGTCATCTCTCGAAGGAAACCCTGTACTGGGGCCCAGTGTGATGCACAGTGGCGCCGCCAAGCGACAGGCACTGGAACACAGATCGCTCTTGTATTGCCATTTATGAAATAATTGAAAATAAAAAGTACCATTTATGAAAAATTATGCAAAGTATGTAATAGTACAACAAAACTTAAGTGTTGTTTGACGCAGTTCCGAGACGTTGTCGCCGCAGTCCCACGTGTCTCAGAGGCGCCGGACGCAAACTTCAAATGATTAAAAATGTAAATGGTGTAATGCAATTTACTGGTGGTAGGACCTCTTGTGAGTCCGCACGGGTAGGTACCACCACCCTGCCTTTTTCTGCCGTGAAGCAGTAATGTGTTTCGGTTTGAAGGGCGGGACAGCCGTTGTAACTATACCGAGACCTTAGAACTTATATCTCAAGGTGGATGGCGTCTTTACGTTGTAGATGTCTATGGGCTCCAGTAACCACCACACAGGTGGGCTGTGAGCTCGTCCACCCATCTAAGCAATAACAAAAAAATGGGAAACTTGTACATAGTCTCATCCTGCTCCATCGCTGTGTCAATATAAACTTGAGACGCGAGCGAGGCCGCGCCGGACATGACAAAACAAACCGTCAAAAACAATAAAATACGTACACCAGTTACAGAATAGAGTTTATCTCAAAATTAACAAAGTCAGTGTCGCGCTGACACCGACACGCGACGCACGCGAATACATTTTTATAAAACCATTTTAATTTGGTAAAGTTCCTTAAGCGGTGTTTCTGTTTTATTTAGTACAATGTTTCTTACAACCACCATCGCTTAGTGTTTGTTTTTCTCAAACTGTGCGGACTCTTGTCGGAGCCCCCCCCGGCCCCCGCCCCCGGCTACAGACAGTCCATGGTGTCTTCCCGGATGATCATCGGCGGCGCCCAGTCCGCGTGCTTCGTCCCAAATGAATACGCGTACGGGTTCTGCCAAATAATTGTAATTCAAAATAACTTCGTATGTTTATTAAACTGTAACATATAATTTGAAATTGAAAAAATTGATATTCAACTGTAAATATTGAGTTTACTGGTGGTAGGACCTCTTGTGAGTCCGCACGGGTAGGTACCACCGCCCCACCTATTTCTGCCGTGAAGCAGTAATGCGTTTCGGTTTGCAAGGGTGGGGCAGCCGTTGTAACTATTCTGAGACCTTAGAACTTATATCTCAAGGTGGGTGGCGCATTTACGTTGTAGATGTCTATGGGCTCCAGTAACCACTTAATATCAGGTGGGCTGTGAGCTCGTCCACCCACCTAAGCAATAAAAAAGAAAAAAAATATCATCGGTTCTCCATAAATTTCAATGAAATCTGGCTGTTTAAAGTGGGTCAAAATCGCGTCTAAAGGAGTCAGTTACGAACATACAAACATACATACAAGTGAAGCTAATATAAAGCGTGTAAAAATAGAGAACATCTAGATCGCAAATCAGTAAACACATTGATAGTAAACATATAAAAACCATTTTTTAAAATAGTTACTCCTACTTTTTCCATCAAAATGATCAACTGAAACTCGTACCTTTTTAGTATTGTACAGGTTGGGCGGGTAGGCGGCGGGCCCGGGGGTGCGGGCCCCGCGCAGCGCCGCCCCCAGTCGCGCGCCCAGCGAGTACATTGGCGGTCTGCGGCGCAAAACATTTACTAAGTCTTTTCTTCATCTCATTCCACTAAGTGGGGTCGGCACTGCTAATTTTTCTCTTCGATTCTCTTCTATCAGCCGTCAGCTCAACACTCACTCCTCTCTCTCTCTCTCTCATATCGTCACTCGCACACTCCATCCATGTCTTCTTCGGTCGACCTCTTCCCCTTGCACTACCATTTCCATACATCTCCTAGTCACATACTAAGTGTTGTACGTCTTGTAAAAATAATTATCACCTCCATTCATTTCGTACGTTCCAATTTTTAACTTCAGAATATAAAATCTTCTTTCATTGTGATATAAAGAATATGTGTAAAATATACACGTACACATTGTGGCGACGTGCGGTGCCAAACATTTATTTCATTGGCGGGCGAACCCTCTTACGACACGTAAGGATTGACAAAACTCCCAACACTCTTGGGTCAACGATAATAATCTGAATGACAGAATGAAACTGATAACACTCACTTCGTCCTGTATACGTTAGCGTCCCTCTGGAAGTAGACCGCAGGTCCCGGAGACTTGGCTTTAGCTTGGAACCCGACCCGAGCGCCTGTTGTCAAACAATGTGCCCTTAGGATCATCTCCGTACCTACTTGCTATTAACTAAAGCAAATGAGCTTGCATCTTACTTAATTTTAAGTAACTTACATCCGCATAGTCCAGAACCACAGCCAAACTATAGTTGAGAACGTTTCTAAAGATTGTTTAAAGAAGAATTTAATAGCGCTTGGAGACAAACTAAAAGAGAATTTCAATCTAGTGCCGAAATAATTTTATTGGAACGCCCTGTGTATTAAAGCACCTGTTCCGGGTTTTAAGATCGATGTTCCTCGAAATATTTTCCACTCGCATCTCACGGAACATACGTACGTACATCTGTTTATTGGTACCGCGGACAGACAAGCGTGCGGTCCGCTTGATGGACACACTCATTTACAAACGTCAGCAACATCCGCGGCCTAACACTGCGACATGAACCTCTTTATATTCCTCAAGAGGCATTTACATGTTATTACATGTGCTTTATATCAACAAAAGGATATGATGATTTATTAAACTGAAATATTAAAATTAATAACACTAGTATTGTGTGGATTGCATATGTATATGCAATATCTCACCTTTCAGACATTACATAAATATCTCCCTTTGATGATGTGACGGTTACTTACCCATGGTATAAGCCGGCGAGCCAGAGCCTAGTTTGAGCGCGTAGGCGTTAGGCGCGGGCCCGGCCCGTCTCGGTGCGAAGCCGAGTCGAGCGCCCATGGAGTAGGCAGGAGCGCGGGGGTCCTTCATCGGGGGGCAGCGCTCGGGAGCGTGCGAGCCCGGCCCTGGGGCGCGAGTAGCCGCGCGCGACGGAAACCTAACACAAATCTTATTATAAATAGAAAATGTTTTAGAAAATAATACCGTTCTTCTGTGAACATTTCTAAATTACTGGTGGTAGGCGCGCGGGTAGGTACCACCAACCCCGCCTATTTCTGCCGTGAAGCAGTAATGCATTTCGGTTTGAAGGGTGGGGTAGCCGTTGTAACTATACTGAGACCTTAGAACTTATATCTCAAGGTGGGTGGCGCATTTACGTTGTAGATGTCCATGGGCTCCAGTAACCACTTAACAACAGGTGGGCTGTGAGCTCGTCCACCCATCTAAGCAATAAATAATTTTTTTAAAAACAATCTCGTTTTTGTTCCGTGGCGTCTGGCATGGAACAAAAACGAGAACAGCGAAGATACACCGCAGCTGCCGCATCCTCTCGCGTGCGCGCTGTATGTAGGTACATGTAGTCGGTAGAGAGGTAGAGAGGGGCACTGACCTGGCGCCGAAGCTCCAGGCGGGCGCGGACACGAGTCCGTCCCGCGTGACCCGGTCGATGCGGTAGGCGGGCCCGGGGCCCAGCGCGCGTATGCGCCGCCCCGCCGCCGCGCCGAACGAGTACATGGGGCTCCGGTAGCGCGATGGGTCGTGCTGCTGGTGGCCGACCGTCGTGGGCAGCAGGTACGCGCCGGGGCCGGGCCCTGTGCGACGCATTACACACAGCTGTCACTGCCTACGGTATCCTCGTCTGCCATCAGTGTGCTTAGTGCGAGTTTTTTAACGTTCTGGATAGCGTTTTTTTTTCCTACCTATGCTGTGAGCCTTGACAGGCTATATCAACGTAACCTTAACTAGTAGGTGAGCTCACGGGACCCAAACCTGACGACGTTGCTAACACGAACCCTAGCAAGAGCCGTGCTTCGCAAAATCTACCACCGGATCGGAAACGCGACCCACTGAGAAGATCCGGCGAGAAACTCAGTGGGCTGTGTCTGAGAGTTAATTTACTCGTCCAGCCCTTCGTCGCAAGCGATGGGTTCGACGAGAACGATGACCGGTGCTTGAAGTACCTAAAAGCACCGTTAGTGGATCGGAAGGATTCGAAATGACGTGTTTGGGGCGACGTCGACTGCTTTCCATTCTGTCCGCAGGATCGGGAATATAATTACCGGCGGCCACGATGAGAGGGTTCTCATGTCGTGCCGCTTTATCGAAGTGGCGCATCGATGCCGACTGATACTTACTGATGGACTTTAAGTCCAGGTCGGGCGATATTAGCGAGGTTAGCTCATATTTGTATGAAATGGAATCGTTTGCCGCTAGGGGCGCTGTTCCAACTGCGTACAAAATTGCGTTAAGTTTTACGCTATCGAGAACGTTAAGAAACTCGCACTAAGCACACAGCGGCAACAAACAAATATCGAACTGTGATCGTTGTTAGTAGTCTCACTACGACTGACGTATGTACATTTATTTATTTAGTACCAAATATTTTCGTGTTCCCATTGATAATCTAAATCCATTATATTGATATTTTTGTAATAATTCAATTAGACACTTTGTACACAGGTAGCTAACTAAATAAAACGTTCTTTCTGTAGTCTAATGTATGTAATGCACGTTTGTTTGTGCGTAACTATTATTTTTTATTTCGTAAGCCTCATCAAGTAAAGGTTTGTTAGCATCCTGAGCTTTCTTCACAACTGTAGAAGTGAGCTTTAAGTTAGCCTTAGCACTCTTCCTTGCACAAAATAGGAACTGTTATGTTCCATTGTGTATCTCGCATCTACTTGCCCTCTTGAACAAGGACGTGGACATGTACACCTTTACATGTTGGTCTACGCTAAGACCTGGATCTGTGGGACGGGGAAATCAACTTACCTAAAGGTTTTTTTGCCATGTTGGATTTTTATTATATAGGAGTATAAATACGCTGTAATGATTTTTTTAAAACACTGAAATTTATATTAAAACTAAAACATTAAAAATTTTGATTAGACTATAATTTTGACATAACGTTGCGGGGTCTCGAAGTTTTGACGTAAAAAAAAAAAGTGATTTTAATTATGAAAAAAGAGTTCACAAAGCTATAAAGTAGTTTCATGTCGACGTGGCTCAGGGTCCCTAGAAGCAGCACACAAGGACAGGCAAGTTGTCCGCGTGAAGAAATAATGTTACTTCAACAATTCCTTATAAATTTGCCGCCCACTACTTGTTGGCTTGAATACTACTAGAATATTTGTTCGCTTACAACTGGCAGATGAAAGAAGTGGAGTGGCTACCCGGGCCCACATACATCCCAGCGCAAATGTCGCCACCTACAATAACCGTTTGTCCTTAGATGAATAGACGAGCTCACGGCTCATCCTGAAGTTAAGGGTCATCAATCCACCCACAGTCATCAACTAGATACGTTAATGCTGCCACCCAGTTTGAGACATGAGTCTAAGTACTCCTTTTTACAGTACAACGGCTGCCCTGCGCTTCAAACCGAAATTCATTACTGCTTCACGGCAGAAATAGACAGGGGGAAACAGAGAAATAGAAAGAATTTAAATTCCAGTTTGGGGTCAGCATGGTTTTGTCTGTATTAATCATTATATCGCGGTAGTAGATCCCCTCAGGATACCAGACTACTCACAACTTCGCCTCTACGGAGTCTAGAGTCGTGCACAACCGGTAGTACGGCCCTCATTGTCGATCAAACACAAGATCTTTAAGCACTTCCTATCGCATAGCTAACCCAGAGACGGCTTTAGGCTTGATGCCGCCTTAGGTCCTGTTTATCGCATCGCCTTTAATGCTACAATGCATTTATTTTGATCCAATATTTTAAATTTAAAAGAACTTTATATTTTTTTTATGAAAATTAATCAGACCCATTTTCAAAGGACTGTCTGCTTTTTTCTTATCTGTAATTTGGCCGCCCCTCAAATGACAGGGGCCTAGGCGTAGATCCATCACTGAGTATATCTAGTATATAGTTTTATTTTTTTATTTTATTTGCTTAGATGGTTGGACGTGCTCACAGACCACCTGGTGTTAAGTGGTTACTGGAGCCCATAGACATCTGCAACGTAAATGTGCCACCCACCTTGAAATATAAGTTCTAAAGTCTCAGTATAGTTACAACGGCTGCCCTACCCTTCAAACCGAAACGCATTACTGCTTCACGGCAGGAATAGGAGAGGTGGTGGTACCTACCCGTGCGGACTTACAAGAGGTCCTACCACCAGTAAAAATATAGTAATTTAAATGAAAGATTCTCAGTGAAGCATATTTATTAACTAATTGGTTCACATTATTGACTGAATTAAAGACATTTAGTGCAGAGGTGCGTAGAGGTCGTCTTTCAGTGGAGTCACTTCACCCTGGCGCGCTTCGCCACTGTCTGCTTCAGACTCGTCTCCCCACTGAAACAGTGCAGATATGCATAACATTATATTAGGTACATTCGTAGATGTAACATTTAGAGGCAAATCATCGTTCGTATGTAGCAACACAGTTTGACGGGTGCATTTTTCGATAATAGTTAGAACTGGCGAACGCTTACCACTTCCCTACTTGTTTCTCTCGTGGAGTGGTCTTTCGTTCTCTTGAATGGAGGACTGCTCCTACACAACAGAATCCAGTGGCTTCTATAAGGCCCGACTGAACGCTGAGTCTGCTAACGCTCTTAGACAATGGGTAACTTCTGTCTTGCCGCAGGGGTTGAGACGACAATCAGTCAATACATCTAGTGTGTCTTTAACATCTTGTGTACTTGTGTATGTAAGTGTTATGGATGGTTGAAACCTCTGAAGAAGGGTAGTCTCCGAGCACGCGGTACAGGTGCCAGGCGTACAGCATGTTCAGCACCCCGAGAGTGCGGAGCGTCGTCTCGAACCCGACCAGCCACGACATCGCGCCGCCCACGATGGGACCTGCGCACACACATTGTACAAGCACGGGCTCACCGCGTGCTCACCGCGGGGCAGCCACCAGGCGATTGAGGAGAGACTGTGTGTGTCAGTTTTGCCACTTAGTATCAGGTTCATGGGCTAATTCGAACCTCAAAAAGGGCTAGATTTGGCAAAAAATATTAAAATTAGAGCTTAATTGCTAAATTGCTAAATAATTTATAAAACATATAGAAGTAGTTAATTTTTAATATAATTTAGTACCTACTGTGTACAAATATTGTATGTACATGTTATTAACAATATTATATATTGAAAAAGAAAAAAACGTAGGTACTCAAAGCAGTTTACATGTCTTCTGAGTCTAAGTCAAATTCGTCGTGAAGGGTTTCTTGTGCTGACGACGTGTTAGTTGCTGCTCAGGCTCATTGCCCGCAGCCTTACTCAATTAAAATTTATATTTTTCTTTAGATCCATTTTTTTGATGACATCTTTCGGGATTTCACATTTGCAGCAACTTTGATTAAAACTTTTAAGGCCAAATCGTGTCTAGTATTTTATTCAGGGTATCAAAGTTCATTTTGTTTCGTAATTTTGTTTTTATTTTTATTAAATTCATCGTGCTGTGTGCTTAGTGCGAGTTTTTTTAACGTTCTCGACAGCGTAAAAGTTAACCCAATTTTGTATGCAGGTGAAACAGCGCCCCTAGCGGCGAACGTGCGCAAACGATCCCATTCCATACGAATATGAGTTAACTTTTACGCTATCGAGAACGTTAAAAAACTCGCACTAAGCACACTGAATACCCCCTCGACGTCGGCGTTAGAAGTATGGCATTACCAGCATTGTGAACACTAATGAACTTAGTTCCTTGTATGGATTATCATTTCCTGCGTCCTTATAAAGCGATCCTTCGCGCCAAAATGTTATAGTATCGGTTATATATGGTTATGTATGTTTCTCCTTATTTTTTTTATTTTTTTTCCTCCCTAAGCTGATAGCCTTGAGAGGCAATTTCACCGGAACCTTAACTAGTAGGTGAGCTCACGGGGCTCAAACCTGACAACGTTGCTAACACGAGCCCTAGCAAGAGCCGTGTTTCGCAGAATCTACCACCGGATCGGAAACCCGGCCCACTGAGAAGATCCGGTGAGAAACTCAGTGGGCTGTGTTTGAGAGTTAATTTACTCGTCGAACGTCTACGAGAACGGTGACCGGTGCTTGTGGTACCTAAAAGCACCGTTAGTGGATCGGGAGGATACGAAATGACGTGTTTAGGGCGACGTCGACTGCTTTCCATTCTTTCCGCAGGATCGGGAGGTTTCTCCATTGAACAACTACTTTATCGATTGTATCAGCGTTTAAGCCGAAGTGTCCTGCGAATGTTATTATTTCTAGGCCCTATTCTGATTTCAAAACATAGTCAATGCTCATTATATTCATATTTTGAAACGTTTTCAAGTTATCTGGAAATCGTTGCTGCAATTCTTTGATTATTTTGGCCTTCAAATGCTTTCAACGCGTCTTGTACTTGTGCGAGTATAGATTTTATATAAATCAAATATAAGGTATATTTGAATTTAACTTATCACAATCAAAACTCCAAATAGAATGAATCCAAATACTGAATGAAATAGATGTAAAACAGGAGACAGTAATGATATAGTAGATACGGGGAATCCCCACATAGAGTGAAAGTGAGCGTGTTTAGTTTTTGCTAGGCTTTTCTGTTAAAATTTCATTTCGTTTCGTTCTTAGGCATGTCTATGTTATATTGAGATAAGATAATTTAGGGCAAAATCATTATGGAGGCTGCTTCTTCTTCTCCATCGCTCCCTCATTGCTGAGGATCATGACTCCGTTTTAGCTTGTCGACTGCCAGCCTCCATCGGTTCCGGTAAGTTGTCTGGTGTAGTGCAGCGCTAAGTGGTCCGCTGGTTTGCTCGGAGATCTGGTCGGACTAAAGTTTGGGACTCCGGCCTCTACGACGATTTTCTTCTACTTTTCCCGTGACCATCAGACGTTCCAAGTTGTCTACTGTGTCTAGTGTGAATTGGAGGCTTAACCGACAGAAAAGAGCACCGAAAGCGTTAAGTTGGCAACATTGTCCTGTGTTCATACCGAGCGTGTAGGCGGCGCTGGAGGCGGCCTGCAGCGCGGCGGCGGGGCGGTGCGCGTGCGCGCGGCCCAGCAGCGCCGGGAACAACGCCGCGTCGGTGCAGCCCAGCCCCGCGCCCAGACCCGTCTGCGGCAGCACCAGCCCCCACACCTGCGCAACGAACAGGTGTACTGCATGTTGCTCTCAGTAGTCCCAGATCTACCAAATCTTTGGTACATGTGCCGATTTTGTCTTAAGTTCAGGCTTTTTTAGAACGTAAATATACTAGTGGAGCCGAAGACCTCTCCAGTAACGCCAGTACGGCTCGGCGGACTCAGGGGCTTAGCCAGCGGGGGAATGTTTGCTAACAGTAGGTAATCCCCAGAGGGGGGCCAAACAAGTCAATGGCAGCTGCTTCAAGAGTGTCGGAATGATGAACCACTGAGACAATCCGGAGAAAGACGAGAGGTAAGTTCAGCCTTAAATCCATGCATTTTATAGAATTTTAATAAATTTGATGAAATGTTTTAATATGTCTCCAGCAGAATTATTACGGGAACCGATGAGATATCACGCGTGCTATTTTCAATATATTTTTTGTTTGTTACTTTGTATAGAAGTGATTGTTATACATATAAAATAGTTAGACTAAAAGATTTAATTAGTTTTGAAGTTTTTGCTTTATTTTGTATAGCAGATCCACTTTCACATTCCAAAATCTATCGCTTCAGCCTAAGCTTTGTGACTTCATACATATTATTTTAATAACTAAGCCGATAAGATCGGGTAATATATTCGTGTAGGGCGATACGGAGAGGATATGACGAGGGGAAGCGACGATGAGGTCAGCGGCAGCGGCCTGGTCGCCCTCACTGACCTGCACGCACTGCACTGACTGAACTCACCGAGGAGGCATGTGGCAGGGCCAGTGCGGCGAGCGCCACGGTGAGCTGGCCCAGCGCGGCGGTCCGGCCGGGGCGGCCCCACTGCCCCGCGCACACGCTGCACACCAGGTACCCCGTGCTGTCCGGCACGAACACCAGCCCCGCCTGCCATTGCTGTCGACAGTACAACCAACGAAGTTATTTTCAGGAACACAAGGTGGAGCACATTATGTATCATCCAACACTACTGCTTGACTTCGTTTTGATAGGCGGTTCCATCAGACTCTTTATGTAGCGGTATCGGACTTAATAACGTAAGTATTAGGAAGCTCAACCCGTAGTGGACGAGATGAGGTGCGGCGCGTCGGTGTCATCAGGTACCTGCGTGTGGAACTTTTGTGAGATCCACAGCGGCAGGCACGGCTCGAGCGCGGCCATGACGCTGGTGGTGAGCAGCACCGCCCCCGCGCCCGCCCGCACCGCCCCGCCCGCCCGCACCCCGCACCACGCCGGCGACGAACCTTCAGCATCACTGCACACCTGTCAGCACAACTACTGATTGCTCGATGCAGCAAGACTTATGCGAATGCATGCTTTGTAGGCAGCGGCTTGGTTCTGCCCCTGGCATTGTTGAAGTCCTTGGGTGACGGTAACCACTCACTATCAGGTGGGCCGTATGCTCGTCTGCCTACAAGGGCAATAAAAAAAAAGAATAACACCCATACAGTTTCACGAGTTTAAGTGGAAAATACACAAGCCAAGGGCCAACATTCGCGCACGCTTTGTTAAGGTGCCTTCTTGTGTTGGTCTCGCACAGCCGCCGACACAAGGGAATGTGGAGGAACCCAACGTTAAGGAGCCGTTACTCCAATGGAAAAAAGATTCACAGTGAACCGTCGCGGCGTCGTGGCCTAAATATTAGATGGCTGATGTCTTCGTGTGACGCCATGCGACGATGTTCAAATCCAACAGGTGAGTATTAATTGTTCTAAAGAGGTAAGCACTTAACACGCGTTCCCGAAATACTTCCACGACGGAAGGATAAAAACAACAATCCTACAAAAGTATAAATTAGCGTAATTACGACTCACCGCCCTTAAATAGACCCGCACGGGTAGGTATCGCGATCTTATCTATTTAAACCGTGAAATTCCGATTTGAACGGTGAAAGGTACAAAAAAAAATAACTTCGACCCCGAATATAAAACACCTTTAAGAAAGAAATTGAGTCAGACCGGATCCGAACCGATCGAATATACACTACTTACTTTGTTAAATTCTTCTTTCCTCAAGAAAACGTGCTGCAGAGCTTGGAATCAATAACAATTAAGCATCAATGAGAATAATGACAGGCCATTACAGATAACTCAGAATTAATACAAAATCATCTTTTAATGTCCGTCGTTAGTAATCTCCCCTCACTCATGTATCTACTAGCCAAAATACCACGAGTGTTTGCGATTAACTTAATGAGACGTTTCCAGAGGCTTTCCGATTGAAGACTTAACTCCTGTTAGTCTTAAGCTATGTGCCCCACAGGAAGGCTGCGACATAATTTTAAATTTCTTTAACATGAGTACACCGGGAGAGCAGCGCTGATGGTGGCACTCTCCAGGCCTCTAACCCAGGTGTCATCCGGCTACCCACCTCCTTCTCACTATCAACTCAACAGATGTATGCGACACGACACGATGCGATGCCACCTGAGGTACACCGTGCCGGCATGATGCTTGAACATGACGATGGCTGGACCCTCGCTCCGTTGCTCTTAACGTTCACATTACATTAGTGTCGCGCTCAATTATATTTACCAAAATTAGCGAGCAGAGCGGCCGTGAGTATCAGGAATGGCGCCTCCCTGCTCCAGAGGGCGTTGGTCGCGCCCCCGAACGGATACCCCACGAGCACCCCTGGCACACAAACAACATTGTACCAGCCTTGTTCACTGTGGGTAACTATCAACTTTTATTTATTTATTTATTTATTTTATTAGGCTCACAACACACATCACAAGCTAAAGATACACAAAAAACACAAATAAAAAGAAACAAAATCTGGCTTGCAACATAAGACATGTGCGCACGACAAAACAAGACATATAGTGCTGAATTTGTATAACAATTTTCCTTACAATTATGACAAAACAACACAATAACAAAAACTAATCTAACGAATAATGTAAGGAAAAAAAAATATATTTACAATATAGTACATTAAACAATTACATTAACCTACCTATTAATAAAGTGGAGGATGCCCTTGAACATAACTGTTAAAATTGAATATAATATGCCTAATATATATTATTTATACTTACCCACAGTATATATTATGCGAAATAATCGAGGGAGCATACTTCATGGCACACCAAAATTCTATAACCTAACTAAACATGGTTATTATTACTGCTTGTAAGTCCGCGCGGGTAGGTACCACCACCCTACCTACTTCTGCCGTGAAGCAGTAATGCGTTTCGGTTTGAAGGATGGGGCAGCCGTTGTAACTATACTTGAGATCTTAGAACTTATATCTCAAGGTGGGTGGCGCATTTACGTCGTAGATGTCTATGGGCTCCATTAATCACTAAACGCCAGGTGGGCTGTGAGCTCGTCCACCCATCTAAGCAATAAAAAAACATCAAAGGTCGTGCCGTTCATTTATTAAAATCGCTTTGGAGGAAGATAGAAGATAATACGAATGGTCTCACGTATAGCATCAGTGAGTGAAGTTGCTGTGCACAATGAAGACTAAGTGAGGTAGGTACCGAGGGCGACCGCGCCAAGCAGCGCCGGGATGCGCGCGGGGCGCAGCGCCGCCCCCAACGTGAGGCCAGCCACGGCGGCCAGCCCCGCGCCCCCGCCGTGCACCGCGCGCCCGCACCACGCGCACGCGCCCGCCGCCCACCCCGACCCCACCACCCCGCAGCACGCGAACACTGCCACAAAATGTAAACCCTACAGCTCCATTCCGCTCCGTGTCGCGTGTCGCCCGCGGTCAGCTGCATTCGGCTTCGATGCGGGCCGCGGGCTACGAACTTGCTGAAGCGGTCAGGGTGGGCTCTTCGATTCGTTAATGAACATAGTTTTTCGTTTTTTTTCCATTAGTACGATTTTAGTGCTTTGACTCGACGACTTTTCTCTCACATTCAGTCGGTGCGCCGCAAAATTTAGTATAGGCCAGTACGGACCCACTATCACAGTCCAGGAGTTGGACGAACAGCGACCAGTACCGGCTATGATCACAATTATTCTTTATACATCACTTGAAAACGATTAAATTGAATTAGCGATTAAAGTATTTGCGATAGATTCAAAGATAGTTTTAACATGGCGAGAGAACCTGACGTATCATCATCATCAGCCTATAGCAGTCCACTACTGGACATAGGCCTCTCCAATTGTTCGCCACTGAGCACAATCCTCGGCTTCTCTCATCCAGCTCCTGCCAGCCACCCTGCACAGATCATCACTCCACCGAGCCTGAGGGCGTTCTGCACTGCGTTTTCCAATTCGCGGTCTCCACTCAAGAACACATTTACCTCAACGGTTATCGGTTGTCTGGCTAATATGACCAGCCCATTGCCACTTCAGCTTACTAACCTGTACCTGTACCTGTAACCTATACCTGTCGTATAGCAGAACAATAAGTACCGAGGGCAGCAGCCGCCAGCAGCGCGGTGGCCGCCCGCAGCACCCTGGCGGGCCCGTACTTGCCGACGGCGGCGGCGGCGAACGGAGCCGTCACCAGCTGGGCCGTCGCCTTTGCTCCCAGAACTAGTCCTACGGCTGCTTGAGAGCTGCCGACACCTGAAATAAACTCCAACTAATTTCACTTGCAACGAACAGTGCACGCTACATTCGCACTGCACTTCTTCTATTGATACAAATATATTTGATTAAAAACCTTCTTGTACTGTATTTGGTATTCCCTTTACGGTTCGTTTTGCTGCGACTGCGACGACCTTGGGGATGGGACTGCCTACGTACTTGCGTGGTAAGGGCTTAGACTTCTTCGTGACGCGAGAAGTTTCATGGAGAAACAGGAGCATATATAAATGCAGGATAAAAAGGATTCAGTCTCCTAAAAATGCAAAGATTCAAATCTTGAAGCGCAAAGCACGGATACATGCATACATTAAACCTTTGAATCTTCTGCGCCTCCGTTTCCTGAGAGTATTCACTGGTGACCGACACTGTACACGAGGGCCTGCCTCAGAGATGCACACTGGGTGAATGGACCACTCTTCTGTAGAAACTACATCTTAGTCTCTGCCAGCTTACATGCTTGCAGTAAACAAGTTCAAGTTAATAGCCCATTTGTAGTGGCATCCATAAGCTTCAACAATTAAATACCTAATCTGAGCTCGCGAAGAAGTGATAGTGCTTACACGCGAACCGTACTCTGGTCGTTCGACCTTGAGTGTCAAATTCAAATATAAATGTTACTGCAATAACTGTATTCAGTGTGTGTAACTGTGACTGTATTCAGCCCAAGTCATCTCACAGATTCAATGAATCCCAACAAAAAATATTTAAATGTTTTCATCTATTAATACAATTATTTTATTAGCTGGTTAGGCTATACACTCAAATAATTATTCAAGGGACACCATTGGCAACTGACTGATTTAGTGTCTACAGATAGCATTATCTAATGCAATCTTCCGGCCTAGTAGGTACAGTCGACGTGGGTATAATTTCCCGCAAGCTGGGCACCTCTCACGGTGCGAGTATAGGTGGGTATTATCAATCTCAACAAAAATATAACTTCAACTGCTCAAGTTTCAAATATATTAAAATCCACAGATCCGTTTAAAACCTCTGGGACCGTCGAAGAGCTTGGTTCTTTGTATGTCTCGTATCGCATGCTCCATGGAGCAAGGTCAGTGGAACTGTTTGAGATCATTTCAATAGGCGTATTAGCGCCGCCCGCCGCCGGAACAGAAGCCTTCCACACTATCTACTGCTAGCTCCGAGTTGAGCTTCCATGCGCGGGCCTTTTTTGTGGAGAGTAATCTGCCGTGAGCAGTGACTTAGCTGAGTCTTTGGCATTGTTCACATCTATGAGCGACCGTGACCACTCACAATTAGGTGGGACGTGTGCTCACTGGACGAAAAAAAACTTGTCTTCAAACCCATTTAAAAAACCAGACCCGTAAGATTATCAATTTGTGTCATCACCTATGGTAAGATATTGTGAGNCGGGCCTTTTTTGTGGAGAGTAATCTGCCGTGAGCAGTGACTTAGCTGAGTCTTTGGCATTGTTCACATCTATGAGCGACCGTGACCACTCACAATTAGGTGGGACGTGTGCTCACTGGACGAAAAAAAACTTGTCTTCAAACCCATTTAAAAAACCAGACCCGTAAGATTATCAATTTGTGTCATCACCTATGGTAAGATATTGTGAGCACGCACCGGCACCACTGCCCTGCATGTCTCTACCGCGAAACAATGATGCGTTGCCGTGTTAAGGATGGGTAGCAGGGTAGCAGCATCGGTATTGTACTGTGTATGGAGCTCAGTGACCACTCAATACCAGTCGGTCTGTGAGCTCGCCTGTTGATCATAAGCAATAAATGTGAGTAATCCCTGTACCTTGGTAGTTGTCTCGCTGCATGTGGCGCATGGTAGTGTTGAGGATGGCGGCGAGCGGCGCCTCCCGGCGGGCCCACAGCTCCAAGGACTCGCCGCGGATCCAGTCCGGGACTATGGGCACTACGGTCAACGAACGAACACTGTCTGTACTGTACACGTGGCGCCTCGTGCTCCGGACCACACATATTTCCAGACTAATATAAAACTTACTATCTTCATATCATTGTTAAAAAATATCGAATATAAATCGTTTCCCGCAAACATCTAATGTAGCGTAGTTACTACGTAGCTTGATTGTGCCGCGTACTGCCGCAGTAGCGTCACTGAAGACGGCTCGGTCACAATTTCTAGTAACTTTTTTATAACTATTCTATATGTTATTGTAACATAATAAAGTAACTTTCATAACATTGATTTTGTTCGTATAATCAGTAGCAAGACACTCACCCAGCACGGTTAACAAAACATTGTCCAAGAAGAACGTGAAATAAATCAAAGAGAAGGCTACAAAGGCATCCTTCGATACGCCTTCTGACATCTTACAAGAGACTCTATTGGATTCCAGAGGAGTGAGTGAGTGCGTGTGGAGTCTGGCGGGAACTCGGCGCGGAGTGGGGCCGTGCTCGCCGCCGCGGAGTGCCCCGGCCTGATAAGCCACGCGCCAATACATTTTCAATCAGCGCGCGTCGATGCGTGTGGAACGACCCTAACGTAATTTTCTGCTGAATGCATCTAAAGGATTACTCGCTAAGAATGTATCTGGGAGATATTGATTGCTACAGTTTTATTGTTTCAGTTTTATTCAGAGTAAGGTTCTCATGAAGATCCCAGCCATCGACCATCGACGATGGTGGTCTTGTCATTAGATCCAGACCTAAATTTGTTTTACACGTATAAAGCCGTAGCTGCGTCGAGGACACAGTGGAGCACTCGTGAACCTCCAGCCACCCTTCGTTAATCGCTGGTCTCCGCTGCTCCTACACGACACGACTTCACGCGGCACTACACAGCTAGGATTGGAAGTTTTGCGTCATCCACCGCACCGACCAGGTTTTACGCCGACATTCGATTAGTTTTTCCAAAGACTGGACAGTTTCTTGGTGGGGAAGAAATGTAACACCCGGGAGACGGTACAAAATTCTTGTGAAAAGTTTGTAGCTCTCGTAGACCTGACTTTTTCAAGAAGGGAATTGAAAAATTACCACCGTGCTGGCAGAGATGCATCAATAATTTTTTTTTTTTTATTGCTTAGATAGATGGAGGAGCTCACAGCCCACCCGGTGTTAAGTGGTTACCGGAGCCCATAGACATCTACAACATAAATGCTGCCATCTACCTTGAGACATGAGTTGTAAGGTCTCACTTTTTACAGTAAGTACAACGGCTACCGCGCCCGACGCTGACAATAGTCACTCGTATGTGGGTGGGGGTAACTTAGTCATGTATTCTCCTGAATACCGTCTTATCCAATTGTTTGCATGGGTAACATTAAGGAAACAGTTAAACATTTTAACTAATCTTAGTTAACAGTAACGTTGCGCCGACATATAAAAATTAAATAGGTACCTAATCAATAACACTAGAAATAATCAGATAACTATAAAACGTTTGATGTTTAACTAGAAGATAAGAAATTTTATTGAAATTTTAACATTGTAAATTTTTAGAAGTGCACCGATAACAGGTTGTGGGATTTCCACAACGATTTATCATAATACTCAACATTTACGACTATTATCAAAAAGTAAGGTTTTTTTTATAATCTTCGTAACTCTTTAACGCATTACAACAATGCAAGATTGTGAGAAGTAATAAAAATAAACTAAGATAACCGCTCCAGCGGTCGACGCGACGGAAGAAGGAAAGAACTCTCATTATTTATTCAGGAACTTCTGGATGTCACATATATGCGTGTCCTGAAGGGGTTGGCAGCCACCGTCAGGGCGGCCACGGAAGACCTCGTGAGCCGCACCGCAACCGAAGAGGTCGAGAGACTGCGTGCGGTCAACGCAAGAGCGGCAAGAGCAGGAGATCCTGCAGCTCCGTGTGGAGGTCGGTGGAATTAGGAAGGAGTTTGCCAGGGTCTCGCAGACGCTAGCGTGCTCGCACCGCATAGTTTTTTTTTTTTTTTATTGCTTAGATGGGTGGACGAGCTCACAGCCCACCTGATGTTAAGGGGTTACTGGAGCCCATAGACATCTACAACGTAGACGCGCCACCCACCTTGAGATACAAGTTCTAAAGTCTCAGTATAGTTACAACGGCTACCCCACCCTTCAAACCGAAACGCATTACTGCTTCACGGCAGAAATAAGCAGGGCGGTGGTACCTATCCGCGCGGACTCACAAGTGGTCCTACCACCAGTAATTACGCAAATTATAATTTNTTTTTTTTTTTATTGCGTAGATAGGTAAACGACCTTACAGCCAACCTGGTGTTAAGTGGTTACTGGAGTAACTGAGTTACTGCCACTGGTTCTAAGGTCATAGTATAGTTACAACGGCTGCCCCACCCTTCAAACCGAAACGCATTACTGCTTCACGGCAGCAATGGGGAGGGGGGTGATACCTACCCGTGCGGACTCACAAGAAGTCCTAGCACTGGTAAAATGTTGCCATATTTAAAAATAAGAAGAAGATAGCATACCCAGTGGCCTCAAGTTAAGACATACGTAAAAACGTGTGCCGTGTGCATACTAAACAAGGGAATATAGATCTCTAATGCCAAAGATCTTAACCATAGATACTGACTCCGACCTGAATCCCAGGCCTCACGGTATCCAAACTAACAAATGATAGTTTTGGACGAACTCTTATCTGCAGGATGCTTGAGATGAAGCGTTTTCATTTCGAAAATTGATAGAAAATGACAAACAACTTTTTTACTGGTGGTAGGATCACTTGTGAGTCCGCGCGGGCAGGTACCGCCGCCCCGCCTATTTCTGCCGTGAAGCAGTAATGCGTTTCGGTTTGAAGGGTGGGGCAGCCGCTGTAACTATACTTGAGACCTTAGAACTTATATCTCAAGGTGGGTGGCGCATTTACGTTATAGATGTCCATGGGCTCCAGTAACCACTTAACACCAGGTGGGCTGTGAGCTCGTCCAGCCATCTAAGCTATAAAAAAAAACTGTCTCAGCTATTACATATCCAATATAAAATCTAGACGAATAAAAGAATACTAGAGGTCCCGCAGTAGTCGAAATTCGACTATAATTAATTGGAATTGTAAGTTTGTACACTATTATTATTGTATTTTATACTTCTATAATCACAAATTTCGCCACGATTACACTATAAAAAAATATTAATAAAGATAAACAATATTTAATCTATTCTCAATTTGACCACAGACGTAAAGAACAAAAGTGTGACAATAAATAGTATGCATGCGTGTGTGCGTCAAACACATGGTATGTAGTGTGTGTAATGTTTTCTTTATTGATTTAATGTATCTTTTATGCATTATTTAAAAAAAATATTAGCATTGTGCACTTCTTCTCTATATTCTCTATAAGTGTGGAAAATTTCATACTCCGCCGTCCGCGCAATTTTCGTAAAAAGGGATACAAAGTTTTTGCTTCACGTATTAATATATAGATTTGTTTTTTGCATCAATAAAGTAAAAAAAAAGACGTGTGGCACAAACAGTTTTCAATTTCGTAAACCATTCCACGCGAGATTTAAGTTTCTACGAAAATAACACGGTGATGGATCCCGATGTCTGTTGCAACGCGATTAGGCACCAAATAGCCAGCAATAGCTTTATTGAGCTCGGAACAAATAGCTGAAACCGTAATAATCTTGATGAAACGAATAAATCGTCGGCACGATAAAGAAAATCCTTACAATGCGGGATAGGACGCGTATTGTTCAATATAGAATAGGGAATAAAAGCGTAGAATCACAGAACGTCTTGGTATTTTATAGCACATGTTTCCAGTACAATTCTCCTATTACGCTCATTTCAAAATAATTCGTATTATGATTATCCATATAATAATACGTGAAGCAAAAACTTTGTACCCCTTTCTGTGAAAATTGCGCGGACCGATGAGTATGAAATTTCCCACACTTATAGAAAATATAGAGAAGAAATGCAGAATCTTAATAAAATTTTTATTATGCATAAAAAATACATTAAATCAATAAAAAACAACATTACACACTACCTTGTATTTGACACACATGCGCATGCATACCATTTGCTTACTGCCAAACTTTTCTAATTACTTAAAGTCTGTGGTCAAATTGAGAATAGGTTCAATATTGTTTGTATTTATGGTATATATAAAGTGTAGTCTTGGAAATCTGTGGTTATAAAAGTTAATAGTCTTTGACAATAGAAACATGATAGTGTACAAACTTATAATGTCAATTAATTATTGTCGAATTACGACTACCGGGGGACCACTAGTATTTATTAATACGTGAAGCAAAAACTTAGTTCCCCTTTCTATGAAAATTACGCGGTATGAAATTTCGCACACTCATAGAGAATATAGAGAAGGAGTGCAGAAGGTTTTTTTTTTTAATTATGCATAAAAATACATTAAATCAATACAATAAACATTACACATACCACCAAGTACTTGACACACACGCATTTATATTTACATTTACAGTTACTAGAGGACCCGCAGTAGTCGAAATTCGACTATAATTAATTGGAATTGTAAGCTTGTACACTATTATGGTTGTATTTTATAATTCTATAATCACAAATTTCGCCAAGACTACACTATAAAAAATATTAACAAAGACAAACAATATTTAATCTATTCTCAATGTGACAACAGACGTCAAGGACAAAAATTTGACAATAAATAGTATGCATGCGTGTGTGCGTCAAATACATGGTATGTAGTGTGTGTAATGTTTTCTTTATTGATTTAATGTATCTTTTATGCATTATTTTAAAAAAATATTAGCATTGTGCACTTCTTCTCTATATTCTCTATAAGTTTGGAAAATTTCATACTCCTCCGTCCGCGCATATTTCGTAAAAAGGGATACAAAGTTTTTGCTTCACGTATTAATATATAGATAGAGTTAATACTCTTTTGTTTATTGTTAAAGTCAGGGTCAAATTGAGAATAGATTACCATTGTTTGTCTTTAATATTATTTGTCTATAGTGTAAGCCTTGGCGAAATCTGTGATTACAGAAATATAATCGTTGACAATAGGTGGTAGGACCTCTTGTAAGTCCGCGCGGGTAGGTACCACCACCCTGCCTATTTCTGCCGTGAAGCAGTAATGCATTTCCTTAGAACTTATATCTCAAGGTGGATGGCGCATTTACGTTGTAGATGTCTACGGGCTCCAGTAACCATTTAACACCAGGTGGGCTGTGAGCTCGTCCACGCATCTAGAGCAATAAAAAAATAGAAACTTAATAATGTTTAAACTTAGAATATAATTTAAATTAATTATGGTCCAATTTCGACTAATGGGGGAACCGTAGTACTTATAATAATCTCTAGTATATATCAAGGGGTGAGAGACAATTTGGTTTAAGCGACATTTATCTTTATAATTAAAGGCGCGTGCTATTTGGTATTAGCATCAACAGTTCACTGATTTTAATTGAACTTCAATTAAGTTTACTCCATTCTAATAGCTGAAGAAGTGTATTTATTTATGATATTTTTTCCAAATTTTAAACCTTAAATGGCTCTCCTGTAGAATTTCAACAATTTCGCTGTAACCAAATAACCTCTCACAACTGGACGCGGTAAAACTTCTCAGTATCGGTGCATAAGAATATTACTGTCTTTAATTAAATTTAATTTATAGACATTAGTCATGCCAATACAACGGAACTTCAAGAAAATACCGTTGCTAAATTGATATCTCTGATGATAAATTTACTAAAATTATAAAAAACGAAGTACCTACGCTGAGAGCCTTGAAAGGCTATTTCAGCATAACCTTAACCAGTAGGTGAGCTCACGGGGCTCAAACCGGAATGATGCTAACACTGACCATAGCAAGAGCAGTGCTTCGCAGAATCTACCACCGGATGGGAAACGCGGCCCACTGAGAAGATCCGGCGAGACTCAGTGGGCGCTCTATGGGTTAATTCGCTCGCCGAGCCCTTTGTCGCAAGCGACGGGATCGACGAGGACGGTGACCGGTGCTTGTGGTACCTAAAAGCACCGTTGGATGCATCGCGAGGATCCGTAATGACGTGAACTACTGTAACTGATACATTAAGCATTTAATTTTTTAACTAAATTCATCTACTTCTTCTTCTTTCTTTATAATATTTCCGCATAAAATATCCTATTCTAAATACGTTGTCTGCGACAAAGGGTTCGACTTGCAACCTAACCTATAGACGCAACCCACTGAGTCTCAGGCCAGATCTTGTCTCTGTCAGAAAGTCTCCAACGACATATTTTGGCAAACACACAATATTCATTCCGCTTTGAGCAACCAAACAGAATGAAGCTTTTTATTGTTATTAGTATACCCTTGAAAAAATTTTTTTTATTGCTTAGATTGTTGGACGAGCTCACAGCCCACCTGGTGTTAAGTGGTTACTGGAGCTCATAGAAATCCACTGCGTAAATGCGCCACCTACCTTGAGATACAAGTTCTAAGGTCTCAAGTATAGTTACAACGGCTGCCCCACCCTTCAAACCGAAACATATTACTTCTCACGGCAGAAATAGGCAGGGTAGTGGTACCCACCCGCGCGAACTCACAAGATGTCCTACCACTACCACCAAAAGTCAATAATAAAAGGATTTATTGAAGAAGTAAGTTTTCATTACTGTCACTACGGAGGGCAATGATAATAATGAAGATAATGACGTCAGCAACTATGCAAGTCTCGGCAATTAGAAAAAACAAGAATCGATAATATTCAAAACACCCCTACTACATATTTTATACAAATTCATATTGTTCATAAACAATTCCACATGTATCAACAAGAGCTCCTATAAAAACCTAACTAACGGCACCCGTGAGGAGCGACGCGAGCATTAACCTTCATACAACCTTCACAACATATGGGGGGCTCATTTTTACGGAGTGCCCTTTACTACCGCATAAAAAGGTCATAAAATAGTTTCTGAAACATTGTAACAGCGTACTGTATTCGTTAAAGAAACACGTGATTTATCGAAGGTCTCCAATCAGAAGTCGATAACTTTGCCACTGAAGCTAGGATTTTTTTTTATTGCATAGATGAATGGACGAGATCACAGCCCACCTGGTGTTAAGTGGTTACTGGAGCCCATAGACATCTACAACGTAAATGCGCCACCAACCTTGAGATATAAGTTCTAAGGTCTCAGTATAGTTACAACGGCTGTCCCACCCTTCAAACCGAAACCCATTACTGCTTCACGAAAGAAATAGGCAAGGCGGTGGTACCTACCCGTGCGTACACCAGGTGGGCTGTGAACTCGTCCACCCACCGAAGCAATAAAAATAAAATCTTCTCACTTTTCTTGCTAGGGCTAATGTTAACAAATTCTCTCAGGCTGAGCCCATGAGCTCACCCACCCGTTCACGAGCAGCTGTAATAGCCTCTTAGGCTCCCAGCGAATAGGTAAGGAAAAACAATCTCAGAATATTCGCATTGAGCCTGCGACAAATGACCATGAGCTTGGTATTGCCACTCCGACACCCTTAATATTGCATCGTTCACAAAGCAGTATTGCGAGGGCGGAAGTCCGGCGATTTCCTCCTGACCAAAAAAAAAAAGAAGGCAATATTGTAGTGAACAGCGCATCGGAGAAACAATAATAACATGTCCTTCATGAATGAAAGGTTGAAGGCAGTCCTTACTTTGTCCTCGATTCAAATCCTTGACGGTGATCACTCGATGGAGCTCCAAAGGATACATTTTCGGAAATTTATTAAAAAACAACATCAGAGATCCAAGTAGCCGTAATATAAATATAATATAAAGAATCCAAATATGACATTTGTACTTTTCCTTCGCGATATGGGAACAGGAAATTATTTGTGTAACTCTCAGATACTCTGTAGCCTTATTAATGTTACGCGTGTAATTAAAAAACGAAATTACATTACTGGAATGTTGGTTTTGTTATACGATCCTTATTTGCGATACTCTTACTGAAATTAAAAAAAAAATATTAATTTGTCGTGAATTCGTTTCTCTTTGAAATTTCGTAAGCAATTATCATTAATGAGATTCTGATGAGACGGAACTGTTCTTCCGTGTTCCGGAAATGTAAGAATTGAATTTATCACTTAACCTCCTAACAGTTCCTTCAGGGACATATTCAGCGCTTAACAGTAAATATCTAGAGTGGATTTAACACGACCCATCAACATTTGTATGAATTAACAGCCCGCAAATCGAACCCGCAAAATTATAATTTGCGTAATTACTGGTGGTAGGACCTTTTGTGAGTCCGCACGGGTAGGTACCACCACCACTATTTCTGCCGTAAAACAGTGATGCGTTTCGGTTTGAAAGGTGGGGCAGCCGTTGTAACTATACTGAGAACTTACATCTCATAGTGGGTAGCGGCATTTTTTTTTATTGCTAGATGTGTGGATGAGCTTACAGCCCACCTGGTGGTTACTGGAGCCCATAGACATCTACGACGTTANGGAAGGGGGCGACAGCACGGGTCGCGTAAGGGACAGAGTCCCAACCGTGCTACTCGAGCGCTGCGAGAGTTTGATCTCGTTGCACTCGGCGCGGAGCTCCGCGAGGGGCGACGCGTCTAGTGGGCGGGAGACGCCAGCGCTGTTTGTGGACAGCACCCGACAGCGGACACGGCGGAAGCGGAAGTCGGCTCGACAGCCGCCGTCCTCCGCTCCGTCCGACTCGTCGGAAGGAGAGCCTGCCAGCGCCAAGTACATGGCGTTGGCGGAAGGGCCGGCGGCTGCTGCGGCGCCGCTCGCGACTGATTTTGACAAGCCGTCGTCTTGCGGACTGGACGCTGCCTCCTCGGCGCAGTCCAGGGCCGCCTGCCGAAAGGCACAGAACGGGACAGAGGTAGGAGAGGTCGAGCGACTGGAGCGCTCCCTAACGGAGGTGGGTCCTTCTGACCCCCTCCGAGCGTGCAACATAGTCAAAGAGATGGTTGCCACTATAGCCAAAAAATCGGCGAAAGGGCTGAAAGGCGACTATGTGCTTGCCCTAAAATCTGGAGCGGCCACTCTTGAAGAGAGATTGCAGGACGTAGTGAACCGCACCACAACCACGGAGACTGAAGGCTTGCGGCAAGAAGTAGCCCTGCAGCACGCCCGCCTTGAGCAACTGGCGGAGGAAAATGGCCGACTTCGGGCGGAGAACGGACAGTTCCGCGTCGACATGGCCGAGTTGAGGACCATGGTGGCCGACCTTATAGAGCGGCAACGCAGCTCGGCCCCTGTCCGTCCTCCGCCCGAAGCGGAAGGCCTCACTGAGGTCGAGGAGCTGAGGCGGCAGGTCCTCATACAGGAAGCACGCAGCTCCAGGGTGGAGCGTGCGAGGCCGCCCCTCGCTCACGAGGCGAAGGGAAGTGCGCCTGTGCCAGCGCCCCGCAGGACTGTGCAACCCGCTGTTAAGACTTACAGCGGTAAGAAAATAACTACACCCGCGCGAANTTGTGAGTCCGCACGGGTAGGTACCACCACCACTATTTCTGCCGTAAAACAGTGATGCGTTTCGGTTTGAAAGGTGGGGCAGCCGTTGTAACTATACTGAGAACTTACATCTCATAGTGGGTAGCGGCATTTTTTTTTATTGCTAGATGTGTGGATGAGCTTACAGCCCACCTGGTGGTTACTGGAGCCCATAGACATCTACGACGTTAATGCGCCACCCACCTGAAACACAATTACGTTGTAGATGTCTATGGGCTCCAGTAACCACTTAACACCAGGTGGGCTGCGAGCTCATCCACCCATCTAAGCAATAAAAAAAACATTATGGTAACTAGTTGTAAATTTGTTTATTTATTGCATATCCAAGTGAACGAACTCATGGTCCGCCTAATGTGCCACAACTTACCGCAGCCTATAGACATCACAAAGCAATTTCCCCACCCCACAAACTGGAACCTTTACTTCACAGGAGAAACGGACAGGGTAGTGGTATATACTAGTACGTGCCCAAAATAGGCTCTATAATAACATAACATGTAGGAATGACATTTGAAAATTGAACATACAACATGATATCATTTGTTGTACCATAAAAACCAGTCTACTGCGTCTGTTGTTTAATAAGCTAATATGAAAACAATCTACTAAGTGGCTAACGTAACATTACAACGACTAAAGCCATCAACTCAACTCGACTTCTTACCTTGTTTTTTATTTATTGCTTTAAACAGATAAGCGAACACACTATCCGCTTGATTGTTTTTTTTTCCCTACCTATGCTGATGGCCTTGAGAGGCTATTTCAGCTTCACCCTAACGTTTGTAGGTGAGCTCACGGGGCTCAACCGGAGAGTTGCTAGTAACACTGACCCTAGCAAGAGCAGTGCTTCGCAGAATCTACCACCGGATCGGTAACGCGACCCACTGAGAAGATCCGGCGAGAAACTCAGTAATGACGTGCTTTGGGCGACGTCGACGGTTTACCATTCGGTCTACTGGGTCGGGTATGTAGTTTCCAGCGGCTACGATGAGAGGGTTCTCATGTCGTGCCGCCTTCTCAAAATGGCGCACTGATTGTTAGTGATTGCTGAAGCCCATAGACACTAGCAACCTAAATGCCGCCAACCACCTTGGGATATGAGTTCCAAATCTGAGTTCTACTTCACCTTTCGGCAGAAATAGGCAGGAATAGGCGTGGTGGTAATACCCGTACGGGCTCATAAGACGCCCTACTCCCAGTAAAAAGTCTCATAATGGTATTAGACGAGAATCCGTCTTTGAATAATCGGAGTCAATTGCCTGAGTTCTAAATATATTCGTCCAGTATCTATTTAACTTCAGATCGGACAATCACTGCAGATAAACAACAATAAAAATGTACCTCTTTTATTAAGCTTCGGTATATAACATCGTATCTTTGCTATAACTACTATTATATAGCAGTTTCTTACCAGGGTTTTAAGCTATTGCATCGATTTTATCGCGGGCCTTGAGCGCGGCGACCGAATCATGAAATTCCGTAACGAAAAAAACCTTACACCCCTCACTCCGCCTACCATGTAGCTCGCGTTCAACACATTCACACGTTGCGCTTGTCTAGTGTTTGTGAATGAGCGCGTGGCGTGACGTCACACTGCATGCGCATCATGAAATTATTGATTTCTTTTTTTTGTTTTAGATATTTGATTTTTTTTAATTTTGTACTAGTGATTGGATTTTTTTGCATAGGCCGACTTCTTGAACTAATTTATACTTTTTTATTTGCATTGCATATTAAATTATCATTGTCTAATTATAATTGCATAGTTTGATAAAAAATGCTATGCAATTGCTTTACCGCGGCAGTTCCCGAGTGCCACACGTTTTTTGCGTATAATGAGTTCCTGGTATATCGACACTGCTGCAAGCTACCCGTGGTTGTTACACTCGCAAGTGGCAAAATATCAGGAACTGATTAAATGTGAAAACACTGGTTAGAACCCGTTAAATACTAGTTTTTAAAACGTATATCTAATTGTTTTTAAACTATCATTATCGTAACTGAGAAGAAACTGCGGTGAAACAGTGAAACAGAGAGACAGACTGGTGGTAGGACTTCTTGTGAGTCCGCACGGGTAGGTACCACCACAGCGCCTATTTCTGCCGTGAAGCAGTAATGCGTTTCGGTTTGAAGGGTGGGACAGCTGTTGTATCTATACTTGAGACCTTAGAACTTATAATATCTCAAGGTGGGTGGCGCATTTACGTTGTATATGTCTATGGACTCCAGTGATCACTTAATACCAGGTGGGCTGTGAGCTCTTCCAGCCATCTAAACAATAAAAAAACTATTGAAGGTACAAATAATATCACCAAAACAAAGAAAGTCTAAAAAACAAAAATCTATCCATAATCCAAATAATGTGTGATTCCAAGGGAAAACACCCAAAAGGGTCTTTAGTATAAATCAAAATTCCACCTTCACGCAAAATCAACAGACGATCAACGTTAAAAATAGTCTGCAAATGTAATTCCGCGGGTCAAATTCAGCCGGCGTCACGGCCCGCCGTAACTCCCCATTGTCCCCATAACATCTCCGTGAATAATAAAAACCCTTTTGTCTCTTATTTACAAAAGGAAAAGATAAAGATATGACATTTGAATAAAAGGAAATTCAACAGTTCGAAATCGCTGAGATCATCCCCAGATTGCAAAAGGGTTTACGTCTCTCATTTCAGTTATGCAAAATGCGCCCAACATGTGTTCGCCGTGTTATATTGCGTCGTTTTTTGTTATTGCCTCGGAGCAAACGAGACGGGAGCCCACCTAATGGTAATTGGTTAGACTCGGCAATTTTTTTTTCGAGTTCAACATTTACTCTCTTCCATAATTTTTGTCTGTTTCAAAAGTATCGTGCAGAGTTGATTTCCTGAATTATGTACGCGTAATTTGAGAGACGCCCTAAGTAATTCGAAGCACAATTATTATTTGTGATACACAATTGGAAGTTGAACTAAAAGTAAAATGGTTTTATTTTTGCTTACAAAGTATCATATAACGCTTGATTTTCTTTCTTTCTAAATACCTTACTTGGATTTCAAATTCTAAGTAACCCAATCGTCCCTAAAAAATATTTTAATAGCAATCCTGCACGCCAAAGAACCTTTAATTATAAAATAAGCTCTTATGTAGAGCAGTAAAATTATCCCACAAAGGACTTAGCAACGTGCCTTTACAAGAGATATTCCTCCATTCCTCGAGTATACTCCAAAAATATTTCAATTGTAAGATCTTAACGCAAATACTTAGAGCAATATCCGCTGAGCCTTCGAGAATAATCTCTGAGGGTATTATTGTCTAGTACTTTGTTTGGGCCTTTCAACGGTAATCCAGAACTAAAAGTCCTAATATAGCTTATAAACCTTACTTCGCTTAACCTACACGGCCTCGTCCCGAGTGTATAAGGATGTGCGTATTGAATATTAGAATGAAATTATGTCGGGGGAAAGGCGGTTAGCGGAGCGTAAAGCGAATTTTAAAATTATTGTTTGAAATGAAATTGGTAGGGGTATTTTTGTTTCAATTATATATAGATGAGTATTTTTGATCGCCCCATCATTGGTTTTCAAATCATAGTTTTTTTTAAAGTTCTACAAATGATTGAACAAGCTGAAACTTCCCAAGTGTTAATTTCAGCTTTCCAATACCCAAAATAAATAAAAACTAAAAAAGTAATTATTAAATGTATGTGCAACTCGGGACATTTTTCTGGAATTAGATTTAAAGAATTTGGCGAATTAATGGAACAACGTATGACCCTTTCATTAAGACGGTGCTTTCCGTGCTAAACAGGAATAGTTAACTTTCTATATATATTTTTTTTTAATTGGTGTCATGTTATAATATGCTATAGTCGTGATAAAAGATCACTGAGAAATACACGAGTAATTATCCTGCCTGAAGCCCGCTATGGTACCAGCAGATAGGTATTACATTTCAATTTTTGTTCCCGATAATATACTGAATCATCGCCAAAATATACCCTCCGAAAATATCCAATACTCTGTCTTCATTATCCATTATCTTTTACGCATTTCTTTCCCTTGAAGAGCAATCATTACTACCTGCCCTATCTCCTTCGTCCTAAATCAGAAGATATAATCTTAATCGCTACTCCTCACCACTGTAACCTCACCATAATGGGATCTTGAGTACATTAAGTAAATCTAGTAGGTTTCAACAAGGGTTTTGATTTTGCATAGACTGAATGGTAAATTTATTCGGGGTTTGATCCTGATGGATTAAACGGTCATCTGCCGGAATTAAGTTAAGCTGTTGATTTTTAAGCCGGATCGGTTATTTTATTGGATGTTCAANTCGCTACTCCTCACCACTGTAACCTCACCATAATGGGATCTTGAGTACATTAAGTAAATCTAGTAGGTTTCAACAAGGGTTTTGATTTTGCATAGACTGAATGGTAAATTTATTCGGGGTTTGATCCTGATGGATTAAACGGTCATCTGCCGGAATTAAGTTAAGCTGTTGATTTTTAAGCCGGATCGGTTATTTTATTAGATGTTCAACTTTTGAGCCTCATAATGTTCATGTTTATATTTATAAAGAAACTAGCGGCCCGCTCCGGCTCCGCTTGGGTCTTTAGCAAAAATTTCAACGATATTTGACGTTGCTTTATTTTTTAAAATAAAATAATACTTATTGCGGCATAACTATAATAGTTAGACATAATATGCTACCCTTTTTGGTTTTTTTTTATTGCTTAGATGGGTGGACGAGCTCACAGCCCACCTGATGTTAAGTGGTTACTGGAGCCCATAGACATCTACAACGTAAATGCGCCACCCACCTTGAGATATAAGTTCTAAGGTCTCAAGTATATTTACAACGGCTGCCCCACCATTCAAATCGAAACGCATTACTGCTTCACGGCAGAAATAGGCAGGGTAGTGGTACCTACATGCGCAGACTCACAAGAGGTCCTACCACCAGTAATTACACAAATTAGAATTTTGCGGGTTTCATTTTTATTACACGATGTTATTCTTTCACAGTGGAAATCAATCGTGAACATTTGTTGAGTACGTATTTCATTAGAAAAATTGGTACCCGCCTGAGATTCGAACACCGGTGCATCGCTCAACACGAATGCACCGGACGTCTTATTCATTAGGCCACGACGACTTCGTATATTGTATTATAAATAATAATGTGCTCTACAAAATAATGTATTATTTTAATCTATCATCAATAGTTTTCGCAGGGCACGCGATGTAAAGAATATTTTAGGTAATTTTTTTACACCTTGGGTTACATTATTGGATTTCTAATAAGGATCCCTATTTTTTTTTTTTTCAAAAAAAATTATTGCCTATGTCACTTGGGAATAGTGTGGCTTCCAAATAGTGGTAACAATTTTTTAAATCGATTCAGTAGTTTCGGAGTCTATTCAATACAAACAAACAAACAAATCTTTCCTCTTTATAATATTATATAGATATAGATATAGAATATAGATAATTTGTTAAGATTATTTTGGTTTTATTCGCTCGACTCGCAATACCACAATGACGATATTGTAATTTTTTTGTGTTTTTTGTGAGTTTGTGGATTTTAATTTTGTCCATATTATTCCATCATCTTGGAAGTAGATCGTCAGTATTCGCTTAAAAACAATATTACTTGAACACTAAATTTGAATTTCAGTACAATCGCATATTTCTATACTAATAGCCCGTGTTTCTGTATGTCTGTGTGGCAAAAATCGCTTCAAAAATATACTAAAGATCTTCCGTTTAGTTGCTTATTTTTTTTTTTTTTTCCTACCTAAGCTTATAGCCTTGAGAGGCTATATCAGCGTAACCCTAACTTTTGTAGGTGAGCTCACGGGGCTCAAACCTGATGACGTTGTTAACACGAACCCTAGCAAGAGCCGTGCTTCGCAGAATCTACCACCGGATCGGAAACGCGACCCACTGAGAAGATCCGGCGAGAAACTCAGTGGGCTGTGTCTGAGAGTTAATTTACTCGTCGAACCCTTCGTCGCAAGCGACGGGTTTGACGAGAACGGTGACCGCGTTTAGTTGCGAATGAGTCGCAAACTCTCAAAGTCGGAGGCTATTTCTCGTTAATCTTAACCTCAAATATAACACAACTACTATATTTTATTACGTCGATAGCTGTTTTCTCACAGGATGATTTTAGTGGTCAAAATCATTCAGGCCGTGCGTCAAGCCCATTATTGTTGTATTAGATATGAGCTTAAAATATATGTATGTGTATCCATTCAAAAAGCCATCATCCATTCCAATTAGAAGCTCCTGTATCGATGTAACTGATATATCGACTAAGTGAGGCGTGAGTGCATCGCCCAACCGGTGCAATTAAAAATACAAAATTATTTCATGAGTTTTAACAACATAAAAAACAATTTAATAAATTAGCTGACGGTTCGTTCAAGTTTGAAACTAAAGTAAGGAATTTTCGGGATTAAGCAATAAATAACGATCTTCAATTACTTACAAAATAAACTGTTGAAATCAGAAATTTAATATCCCGAGCTGAAACATAAATTAGGGCTACATTTCGTAGATATTCATACTAAAATTATATTCTAAATTAAATTTCAATAAATAAAAGACGCCAACAAAAAATAAAGAATTTAAATGAGAAGGACTGAAGATGAAATATTACAGCCACTAGTTTTTTTAACTATTAGCTAGCCTACATTACAAATGGGTATTAGATTTGTTTTTCCTCGTTCCCCATAATAACTTAATAGAAACGTAACATTCGTTCTTTCTAAGCTTCAGTTTTAGGCTCTTACCCTACAACTATCGATCCTTTGTCAGAATTATATGTTTGCCTTAAAAAAAAACAACACCTTCCATAGTTCATAGAACCCTGTAACTGAATCTAATATTTCACTCATATAATTCATGTAAAATGCATGGGGATATCA